CCGCTAGACGAAGAGACTCGCGGAATGGATTAATTTCGTCTTGCGAGGCACCACTGTATCTATCTATCTATCTATCTATCTATCTATCTATCTATCTATCATCTATCGATCTATCTATCTATCTCTATCTATTTATCTATCTATCTAGGGGGGTGGGGTTTCATTTCCCCCGCAGTAACAGGGCAACATCTTTTACTTGATCCTATGCTAGCCCAGCTGTCAGTGTAAAACGTTAACAATCCACATGTCGCGATAAACTGCAGGTCTTCTTTCTTATGACAGCAGTGAGACAAATCCCATATTTTTCTGCATATAAGGTGAGGATTTCTTATTAGAAAATGACGTGGAAAATTTGGGGTCGTCTTATACATGGAGAGTGCAGAGGGTGGACTGGCGACTGGTTGCTGCCGCGAGCAGGTGATTGTCATCAGCGAAAGGGCGGGTGATTGGTGATTGCGGCAATTGTTGATAGGGCGGCGCTGTGGCAATTGGGGTGCGATTGACGGCTGCTGGCGGTGATCAGGCAGTCAATTGGTGGCTTCGGCAGCACTCGCTATTGTCAACGATGGTCAGGTGGGTGAGTGATTTTAGGCAACCCCCCCCCAAAAAAGCTCAAAAACCATGGGCAATCCTCCCCCCAAAAAACTCAACAACTCTGGGCGATCTCAATTTGTAGTCCCCCAAAATAGGGGGCATCGTATACACAGGGGCGTGTTATACACGGAAAAATACGATCATTGCTTCCAGTTGGGGGGCGGGCCGCCCCCCCCCCACCTTCAAAACCTGGACCCAACAAGTGTGGAATATAGCACTTAAGAGGCGCTTAAACTCCCCATCAGAGGATGGTAAGAGGAAGAACAAAGAAAGATTGGCTTGATCCATATGTTCTCGATTTACTTCGTTTATTACCAAGAATACTGTAATTTATCAGCCATTATGGAGAAATTATCTTAATGATTTAGATTGAAGTGTGCCCTGTGGATGTGAGCTTAATCTGTAATGTAAAAAATTTTCTGAGCTTGCTTTGATGCTCACAAGACTGTTGTAAGATGACACTTTATGGTTTAGTAATTGTTTTTAAAATTTTCGTTATGAGGAAGTCCGTTCCAATGTCGAACGGCTCTTGCCATCAGAAAGTTATTCCCGAAGTTGAGATGGAATTTCCTTTCTTGTGAATCCATTACATGAAAGGCAATTCCAACTCAGCATTGGGACCGCCACTAAAAAGACCCTGTCACTGGTCAACACCAGCTGGGCTCCACCAGCAGGGCTTCCCCATTTTATTTTATTTTATTTTTATAAATTTTATTTCAGTTTTCAAAAAATTACAAATACGCACCTTACCATCACATACTTCCAATACAAATACATATTAGTCTTCCCTCCCCAACCCTTTTGTGGTTTCTTATCTTATTTAAATATTTAACACTACATTTTTCCACTTTATTCCATTTTAAAGTTATTCTACAATTAATCTTGATAATACTTTTAATTGCTTGATTTGAGTTGACCTTACTAATGCCCTTACTTGCATGCCATGATTTTTCAAATATTCCACAAATGTTCCCCACTCTTTAATAAAAATAAAATAATTCCTCTTGGTTTCTTACCACACCCATTTATTTTGCCATTTTGGCATAATCCATCAATTTAATCTCTTGATTGGAACAGCATCTCCTTCCACCTTGGGGCAAATACCATTCTGGCTGAGGAATACAAATTTTGGTTCCCCCAAAATGAGGTCTTACAGGCACCCCAGGCCAGCTGATTGCCAGGGAAATTGCTTTTTAAATGTGCAGGGCAAGGAAATGATTCGCCTGACAGTCATTGCGATGCTAGGAGATTGACAGGTGCTCACCTGCCAAACTTGGCTGGTGGGGGAGGTAAACATCTGGCTTCCCAGCCAAATCGGTTCCCCGCTCCGACTAGAGGGGATTTTGCCTCCCCTGTGCCATGCATCCACCTCTGCCATAGAGCACACCTGGAGTTTAGAAGGAATGTGGGCAACCTTTTGTGGTGTTGGGCAAGCCGGGCATTGACATGCTAGCCCAGTGTTACCCAAAGTGGGCTATAGCAGCCCCTCAAGGGCAGCGGGACTACCTAGAAGGGGGCTAAGAGGCAGAGTACACTGAACTTTGGAACTCGCTTTCTCAAGAAGTCCCTGGATGGCTTTAAAAGAGGATTAGACAGATGTCCCAGTTTTAATCTGTTTTAGCATTTTAACTTCTTGTTATGTTTTAAACCAGGGTTCTTCGTTTTCTTGTTTTGTCTTTTTGTGATATGTTTTGATGTTGTTGTTTCTGGAATCGAGTGGTGTATAAATTTTATGAATGAACAAAATGAATGAAGGAATAATAGGTATCCGCTCTTGACTCTGAAAGGAGGCTGCCTCCTTCTGGCCAAGCCTTGGCATTACACTGAAGCAGCCGGCCAGGGTGCAGTGCCCTTCCTTTGCAGGACGGAATGGGCCCTGGTGTGGGTGCTGGCCGGCCGCAGGGCACGTGCCCTCCCATATGCTCAGCAGGAGCACGGCCAAGGTGGCCTAGGAGGTGACATCAGGAGCTGTGAGCCGAAAACCCCCAGGATCAAACCTCCCACCAACACAAGCTCACCAACCAAGTGCTGTTTTTCATCTCTCTATCTATCTATCTAATCTATCTATCTCTCTATCTCTCTATCTCTCTATCCCTATCCCTCTTCCTCCCTCATTGTCACTGTTCTCCAATATGGAGATGAGAATAATAGCTCATTTCGGGAACTCCCTGCCTATTGAGATGGGGAAGCTATTGAACCCCTTCAAAACTCTCCAAAATGTACAAAACTGTCCCTAATATATGTTGGAGATGCGGAGAATCAGGTGGAACAATGCTCCACATGTGGTGGGTTTGTAAAAAGTTCAAAACCTTCTGGAATGACACACACATGCAGTTTCAAATAATGTTAAATCCATCCTTCCAATCCCCCAAACCAGAATCCTTTTTATTGGGTATTACGGTTCAAAAGCACGTCAAAGTGCAAGTAGATCAATAGGTACCGCTCTGGTGGGAAGGTAAACGGTGTTTCCGTGTGCTGCTCTGGTTCGCCAGAAGCGGCTTAGTCCTGCTGGCCACATGACCCGAAAGCTGTACACTGGCTCCCTCGGCCAGTAAAGCGAGATGAGCGCTGCAACCCCAGAGTCGGCCACAACTGGACCTAATGGTCAGGGGTCCCTTTACCTTTACCTTTTTTATGGTGTCCAGGGGGGACGCGGGTGGCGCTGTGGGTTAAACCACAGAGCCTAGGACTTGCCGATCAGAAGGTTGGTGGTTCGAAACCCCGCGACGGGGTGAGCTCGCATTGCTCTGTCCCTGCTCCTGCCAACCTAGCAGTTCGAAAGCACATCAAAGTGCAGGTAGATAAATAGGTACCGCTTTGGCGGGAAGGTAAACGGCGTTTCCTTGCGCTGCTCTGGTTCGCCAGAAGCGGCTTAGTCCTGCTGGCCACATGACCCGGAAGCTGTACGCCGGCTCCCTCGGCCAATAAAGCGAGACGAGCGCCGCAACCCCAGAGTCGGCTACGACTGGACCTAACGGTCAGGGGTCCCTTTACCTTTTTTACAGGACCAGATATAGCCAGGAGGATAAGGGAAATCTTTCTGTATGGCACCACAGCCATGAGAAGACTCATAGCGAGACATTGGAAGAGTGACCAAATCCCCATCAGATCAGAATGGTTACTAAAATTGGTAGTATATGCTGAACTTGATAGTCTCTCGGAAAAGATTAAAGATAAGCAAAAACAATGAGTTCGTTCATCACCGGAAACCTCTAAAGAGTTACTTAAAAAATAAGTGTTGCAATCTGAATTCGGTAGCAGCTTTTGAATAAGCTCTGTAAATAAAGGTTAAATGGGCTAAAATAGATATATATACATAGATGCATATTAATACTTTATTATGATTTTGCTGATAAATTTAGGCAATAGGTTTACTAGAGTGAAAATATGTTGAGAAGGACGGGAAGTCAAATTTGCAAAGATATATACTTCTTTGATGGAATTTTTATTTTGATGAGCCTGATTTACAGACTACAAAATGTCTTTGATGTATGGATGCAACTACAGTTAATAAAGCATTAAAATAAAATAAAAAAGCTTTAAAGAGAGAGGGAGAGAGATATGGGGAAAGTTCTTTGCTCTATGCTTTCTGGCACCTCCTGAAAACGTGTTTGTTTAGGAAGTCCTATCCAGACAAGTAGACGTTCTTTGCATTTTAAGCTGCTGTCAGCCAATTGTTGATTTTACTTAGTTTTTGACGTGTGTATTTTCAAAACAGCAGTTTTAAACTGTCTTTTATATGGGTAATTTTAATGTGTGTTTGTTTTTGTAAACCACTCGGAGGTTTTATTACAATCAAATGTAAATTGTAATAAAAGTTGTTTGGCATAAATATTGTTAAATATAATCCTGCAGACTCCTTTGCTGTGCTCCTTCCAGCACCTGATCAGAATGTTTTTCTTTAGAAAACTCTACCCAGCCATGTAGAAAACACCAAAGTGCATTTTGATCTGTTTTCAGTTTATCACTGATTTCAATTTTTTGTACATTCTAAATGAGTTAAAAATTTTTTTACCAATAATGTTATTGTTTTATTCCTTTTGTAAATCTCTTAGAAGTGTTTTTAAATTTTATTTTGCAAATAATACTACTACTAATAATAATTTATTATTTATATTCCACCCATCTGGCTGGGTTTCCCCAGCCATTCTAGGTAGCTTCCAACAAAAGATTCAAATACATTAAAACATCAGTCATTAAAAACTTCCCTAAACAGGGCTGCCTTATCTGAAGGCTGTCTTCTGAACGTCAGGTAGTTGTTTATTCCTTTGACATCCGATGGGAGGGTGCATAATAATAATTTATTATTTATAATAGTAGAATGCAGTTTTCTCCCTGTTCCAAAGTCCTGCTCATGTGCCTGATTTCCTCAATGCTTTCTCCCTTTTTCTCCTGTTTTTCCCCAGGAGTGGGTCCCTGGATGTTGCATCCAAGAAGCAAAGGTGAGTTCTTGTGGTCCAGCCCTTTGTCTCAAGACTGTCATGTTTGTGTCCCAGGGATGCCCCAAGCGATAGCTCCTTTGGCTTCTCTTGCAGAAACTCCGTTACAGGGAAGACTTTCCTGTCCATGTGCTTAGGAATCCTCCTATGGAACCCAAATCTGCCTCCCTCTGGCTTGGGCCCATTCCTCTAACTTCAGCTGAGCATTCCACCTCTTCTTTCTGACCTCCTTTTAAATAAGAATATAAATAGTGCTGCCTGGATCAGGCCAGTGGCTCATCTCTCACAACGGCCAACCAGCTGCCCCAGTGGGAAAAAGCCCACAAGAAGGACTCAAGCACAGGGATTTTGTTATACAGTGGTACCTCTGGTTGCGAACGGGATCCGTTCCAGAGGCCCCTTCGCAACATGAAAAGCGCGCAACCTGAAGCACTGTATCTGCGCGGGTGCATGGCGCCATTTGGCACTTGTGCACATGCACAAAGCGTGATTTAGTGCTTGTGCGCATGCGCGAGCAACGAAACACAGAAGTAACCCTTTCCGCTACTTCCGGATCGCCGCAGGACGCAACCTGAAAAAACATAACATGAAGCAAACGTAACATGAGGTATGACTGTACTATTTTAACTTTGGTTTGTTTAAAAGTTTTTCTTGTTTTTGTAAACTGTTTTGAGAGTTTTGGTGGGTTGTTGTTTTTTTACAACCAAGCAGTGTATAAATTTTATGAAATAAAAATAATAGATAAAAATGAGAGCAGCTCTCCCCTCCTGCGATTCAAAGCATCTGGCATTCAGAAGCACCACTGCCTCCAGCTGTGGAAGCAGAGCCTAGCGCAGCAAATATTTGCAAACTCAACTCTTTTATCGTTTTAAAAGCACCACAGCACAACCCTATACATCTCCCATTGAATTTGGAAGGACTTAGAAAGTTTGCCTTTTGAAGAAAGGACTCAAGATGGTTTGTTTCTCTCAAAACCGCCTTTTCCAGGAGACGACTGGGAGGTTTCAGAGGGATGTTGTTGTTGTTGAGTCGTTTCGTCGTGTCCGACTCTTCATGACCCCCTGGACCAGAGCACGCCAGGCCCGCCTGTCTTCCACTGCCTCCCACAGTTTGGTCAAACTCATGCCGGTAGCTTCGAGAACACTGTCCCACCATCTCGTCCTCTGTCACCCCCTTCTCCTTGTGCCCTCCATCTTTCCCAACATCGGGGTCTTTTCCAGGGAGTCTTCTCTTCTCAGGAGGTGGCCAAAGTCTTGGAGCCTCAGCTTCAGGATCTGTCCTTCCAGTGAGCACTCAGGGCTGATTTCCTTCAGAATGGAGAGGTTTGATCTTCTTGCAGTCCATGGGACTCTCAAAGAGTCTCCTCCAGCACCAGAATTCAAAAGCATCCATTCTTCGGCAATCAGCCTTCTTTATGGTCCAGCTCTCACTTCCATATATCACGACTGGGAAAACCAGGGCTTGAACTATACGGACCTTTGTCGGCAAGGATGGTAGGCATTCTTTTTTCAGGCTGGCAGGACTAATGGATGATGGCCCCTGCTTCCTATCCTTTCTTGGATGCTTCCCATTCCCATTTCCCTTCGTCTTTTTCCCCACTGGGGCCTCCAGCAAAGGAAGACTTCCCATCAGGAGCAGCTGGGCTTGACTGCTCCTTCCTCTGTGCCCTCGGAGATTGCACGCCTCAGCCCAGCTGCTCCCACGATTCACACGCGATCACCTCGCCTCGTAGCATCGCACGCCCAGAAGGATCCATCTCGGTTTCCTTTCCCCGCTTGTGAGGCTCCTTGCAACCTGCTTGCGACCTTCTGGGAATGCAAAAGCGTCTTGGCTCTGAGCCAGGAAGCAGGAAACCCCTGGCGTGCAAGTTTACTCCAAGGCACACAAATCACGCTGGCAGGCAAGATTCCTGAACAATGGTGATGTCATTTCGGGGAAAGGGCTCCTGAAAACCCTTGCAGGCCTCATTGATGCTTCCAGTCTAGAGCTAAACTGGTTCTCCAGGCCTAGGTCCCAATGCAGAAGTATGGAAGGCACTTCAGCACATTGGGCACACAGAGGGTCGTGGTGCGCAATGATGGCTTTCAGTTTTTATCAGGCATTTATTATTATTATTATTATTATTATTATTATTATTATTATTATTATTATTATTATTATACCACCCTATACCCGGGTGTCTCAGGGTGGTTCACATAAAAAGATCACAGTATATAAAATAAAAGCAATAACCCAATAATACACACCCCCCAAGAGCCACATTTTAAAAGGGTATGGTCAGGTCAAAGGAATGTTTTTGCCTGGTGCCTAAAGGTGTGTAATGAAGGCATCCAAGGTTGTAGGACTCACTCTTTCTCTCTCTCTCTCTCTCTCTATATATATATATATATATATAATTAGTTTTTTAGCATATCGTTTTCAACCGCTATTAAACATACTTTTCTATCTTGTGATCACAAGGTCTGAGTTGTTTCTTAGGAGACTATTGAGGGCTGTGTTCCCCCTCCATTGTAAATGCCTCTGAATGCCAACTGCTGGAAACTGCAGGAGGAGAAATGCTCCTGTGCTCAGGTCCCGCTTTCGAGCATCTTATCCCCAGACACACACACACACACACACACACACACACACACACTTGGTACTCTTCCCATACAAAATCTCTCGCCTTCTGAAATGGTGGAACTCCTAACATGTGATTATTCTGACTGTGTAGATCCACACAGTCCACCAAGCTGGTGCCCTCCAGATGTTTCAGGGATGCTGACTGGGGAGATGGAAACTGTAGCCCAAAACATCCAGGGAGCACTCGATTGGTAAAGGCAGCTGCAGATTGTCTCTTGGGGTGCAACCAGTTCTTGCATCATCACAGTCGTGGCCATTAAGAGATTTGGGGAACTTGAAAACACAGGGATTTCTTTGTGCCCTGTTGAGTGGCCCTAGAAAAGCAGCTGTTTCATATATATATATAGGTTTTTTTAACATATTTTTTCCAACAATCATATAACATAACATCTTATCTTATACAATGTTTTAGACTTCCGTCAACACCTCTGGTGATTTTCCATCCTTTATCACTTATTCTGCATTTCTTAATTTCTCTATTACTCTTAATTATCATTAACTAATAATTCTCCTCATATTCTTTCTTGAAATATTTCAAATAGTCCTCCTAGGAGCTTAATCTGTTCATTACAACTGCTTTTCAAATAGTTCGTGTATATTTACTCCAGTCTTCTAAGAATCTCTGGTCCTGCAGGGTTTCGAATCCTTCCTGTTAATTTATCCAGTTCTGCATAGTCCATCAATTTCATCCACCATTCTTTTGTCGATAATTCTTCTTGCTTCCATTCTTGTGCCAATAATATTCTTGCTGCCGAAAAGCAGCTGTTTCCTGCAGATTTCCCCCTCGTGGACTTGGCAGTTTTTATTTTTCTCCATTGCCATGCGCTGGGCTGCGGAAGGAGAGGGTTGCACAGCGGAGCTCTCTGGTCAGATCACTGTCTTTGCCAAAGCCTTCCTATCCCCGCTTCTGTCTCTGGCCAGGTCTGCGCCCATTGTGGAGGGGCCCTGCATCCAGGATCCTGCCCACCCGTTCTCCTGCACCATCCACCAGTCCATGTTCTGGTCCGGATACTGGATCAACGTGACGGAGGTGAATCCACTGGGCTCCAACTTTCACCTCCTGAACGTCATCATGCAAGGCATCAGTAAGTCCTGCCCTTTGGAGGGGGGGGGAGGCACAGCAATCTCCTGGTTTTGCCGGAGCCATTTTCTTTGGCCCAGATTGAGTAGGCAGGGTGGAGTATTTCAAAGGCAGCTCTCTTCTTTCATTCCAGGAGTGATGCTTCTTCCAAACTATGTGCCCACCATCAGTCCAAAGCTGAGATCAGATAGGGCAGCGTTTCCAGGGCTGGCCGGCCAATCTCAAGGAAAGGGCTTCCTACTGGTGTTTTGCAACTTTGACCTGTTGCAGGACCTTAGCCAGACCTTAGCAGAGCATGCGCAGAGTTCCAGAAAGCAATCAGTTACAGGCAGGATGGACGAAGCAGGAACAAGACGCTGCTACTAGTAACTTGGTTACTTAGAGGTGTTTATTATTTACAGCAGACTCTACACGTTACAGTGGTACCTTGGGTTAAGAACTTAATTCATTCCGGAGGTCCGTTCTTAACCTGAAACTGTTCTTAACCTGAAGCACCACTTTAGTTAATGGGGCCTCCTGCTGCCACTGCACCGTCGGAACATGATTTCTGTTCTCATCCTTAAGCAAAGTTCTTAACCCGAGGTACTATTTCTGAGTTAGCAGAGTCTGTAACCTGAAGTGTCTGTAACCTGAAGCGTCTGTAACCTGAAGCGTCTGTAACCCGAGGTACCGCTGTACTATATACAAGAACAGATACAGATACGGATGTTTACTAGCTGTCTCTCAACAAACTCCAAACGACTCTCAGAACCCAGAACACCACACTATCCAGTCAGTAAGGTCATAAGTCATCATGCCTGTGTGAGACTTCAACCAGTGGTAGGGCTGTATCCAAGGTCCAATAACTCCTCTCTGCTCAGTTACAGATAGGTAGCCGTGTTGGTCTGCCATAGTCAAAATAAAAAAAATTCCTTCCAGTAGCACCTTAAAGACCAACTAAGTTAGTTCTTGGTATGAGCTTTCGTGTGCATGCACGAAATCTGAAGAAGTGTATCTGAAGAAGTGTGTATGCACACGAAAGCTCATACCAAGAACTAACTTAGTTGGTCTTTAAGGTGCTACTGGAAGGAATTTTTTTATCCTCTCTGCTCAGTCATCCTTGGCTTTCGGCCAACTTCTAATTGCTTTTTGTGAAGCTGCACAGAATGGCACGTAGTCCAAATCCCAACACTGCCCACCTCCAGCGCTTGCAACACCCCTCTGCTTTGTCCCCCAGTCAAGCCAGACCCACCAGAGCATCTTCGGGTAGAGCCAGTGCCTTCGGTGCCCAACCGGCTGCAGGTGAGCTGGGAATACCCTTCCAGCTGGACCAAGGAGTTTCACTTCCTGCTCAAGTTCCGCCTGCGATACCGACCCGTCACCTCCACTTCCTGGGCTATGGTGAGTTGAGGGCAGCAGGAGCGGATGGAGCCCAGGGCCTATGCTCAGAAAGAGGAGTGTTGCCTGCCCGCTTCTGAAACTGTGGCTCAGCTGCCGGGCATTGGCCTGTTGTTGAATTATTATTTCATTGCTCTTGTTGTCTGCTGAGTTTGCCAGTCCCATTACCTTGCCCAGGCCAACCCAAGGCATTAAAAGCATCACAGCCACTTCTGAAGGGCCACAGACAGTTAAAAGCCTGGTTATAGAGGAAGGTTTTTGCCTGGTACCTAAAGATATGTAATGAAGGCAACAGGCAAGACTCCCTGGGGAGAACCTTTCGCAAATGGGCAGCCACTGCAGAAAAAGCCTGCTCTTGTGTTGCCACCCTCTGGACCTCTTGTGGAGGAGGCACACAAAGACGGACCTCAGATGATGATTGCAGGGTTCAGGTCGGGAGAGGCAGTAGCCTAAAGGTTACCAGAGTGTAGGCAACAAAAGTTAGGCTATTTCTGTTCAGCTAGTCCAGGGGTCTGCAACCCGCGGCTCCGGAGCCGCATGTGGCTCTTTTACACCTTTGCCGCGGCTCCGGGACGGATACTAGCGAGGGGAGGAGGCGCATTGTGCGCCCCGACACTCCCCACTGTGGCGGGCGCTGTACTGGCTGTGACGTCGCATGGGGACGGTGCATGCATTAGTCACGCACCGTCCCGACGTCACCTTCCCGCCCGCTGTCAGATCGGAGGGCAGCGGCGTGCATGCTTTAAATGTTGCAATGGTTTTGCGGCTCCCAGTTGTTTTTTTCTTCGGAAACAGGTCCAAGTGGCTCTTTTTTTCTTAAAGGTTGCAGACCCCTGAGCTAGGGACACAGCTAAGCCACCAGCCAAAGCTGATGGAAGGTACTCTGTGACACTAAGGCCACCTGAGCCTCAAGTGACAGCAAAGGATCCAGGAGGACCCCCAAGCTACTCGCCCAGTCCTTCAGAGGGAGGGTAACCCCATCAAGAGCAGGCGATCTCCCATCTATCTGGTCTCGGGAGCCACCCACTAACAGCGGCTCAGTCTTATCTAGGTTGAGCATCAGACTCTTGGCTCTCATCCAGTCCGTCACTGAGGCAAGACAACGGTCCAGCACTTCCAATGCCTCACCTGCAGATGTAAAGGAGAAGCCAAGCTGGGTGTCATCAGCAACAATCTGTGTTGTATTTGTTAGCGTTGAATGCCAACATTGGTATCTTGGTCACAACAGCAATGTCCTTATGAATGTCCTTGTTGCCAGAACTCCATTGTCCCATCACCTTCTCCTCCAAAAATATCTGGATTTAAATGCAAACTTCTCTTAACTAACAATAAAGTCTCCTTGATTCTTAGTATCTTCACTGGCAGCTCTTTCCCCAAATTCCATGCAACATCTGTTTAGCCAGCTGTGCTCAGGGTTTTGTGGAAAGATTGTGAGCTTGTGAGTTTAGCACAACTAGATGGGCCAATGGTTTGCTTCTGTATTTATGAGGTTCTTATCAGGGCTTCCCTTCCAAGAAGACCGATCCTGGCGGACAGGATCTGCCCCAAGGTCATTTATCCACCGTCGCCAATCTTGAAGTATGTGTCCGCAGGGGCTCACGGCTCACAGATCAATGGCCTGCTGTTGGTTGGTGGCATGAGCTGAGAGCACCCCTCCCAAAAACAGAAACAAAAAAACTGCCCAACAGGATGCCACATTCTGGGAAGCAGAGAGTAGGGGTCTCATCCTGCACCTGCCCATTGTGTGTGTCCTGGATCTGCAGGTGGAGACGGCCAATGTGTCCGAGGTGATTACAGACGCCTTCCTGGGCTTGCTGCATGTGGTCCAGGTGAGCGCAAAGGACTTCCTGGATGCTGGGAGCTGGAGCGAGTGGACCCCTGAAGCGTGGGCCATGCCGGCCACTGGTAAGCAGCCCTCACAGCTGGGGGGGGGGGCATGTGCCTTGTTTGAAGGAAGCACTTTGCAAGGTGGTTCCAAGCACATACCATAACCTCACGTTTGTGCAAATGCAGTGGTACCTCTGGTTGCGAACGGGATCCGTTCCGGAGGCCCGTTCACGACATGAAAAGAGCGCAACCCGCAGCAGCGCGTCTGCGCATGCACAGGTTGTGATTTGCTGCTTCTGCGCATGTGTGTGATGTCATTTTGCACTTCTGCGCATGCACGAGCAGCGAAACCCGGAAGTAACCCTTTCCGGTACTTCTGGGTCGCCGTGGGACGTAACCTGAAAGAACGTCACATGAAGCGGACGTAACATGAGGTATGACTGTAAAGTGGATTAAAACACGAGGACTCATCCACACTTAGCTTTTGCTCTGCGCTTTCTTGACTCAGGTCCACACTTTCCTGGTCTGTGTCTGTGCATTTGTTTGTTTGTTTGTTTGTTTGTTTGTTTGTTTGTTTGTTTGCCTGCCTCAGTGCTTTCCCCAGGAAAACCCACAAAATCGAAACAAACAGCAATTTGGGATTTCTGCATATATATTTTCCATGGTAAAGAGTGGGTTTTCGTGGGGAAAGCAACAAGGCAAAAAAAAAAAGTTTTTTTAATGCTTGGACATGGAGCTTTGAAGTGCAGACCCGTACCTAGAAAAGCAACACGGAAGGAAGTCTGGGTGTGTCCTGAATTGCTACATTTCCACTTTAAAAGGAAAAAGAATAGGACTTTTTACTGTTTGGAAAGTGACGGAGAAATGCGTTGAAAAGCGTGGGGTGAATGATTGACTTAATGGAAAGGTACATCAACACCCTGCAAACAAATCAGGAAGGATGCAGGAGGAGTAAACAGTGTGGTGCAGTGGTTAGAGTGTCTGACTTGGGCCTGGGTTCAAATCCCGACTTGGCCAAGAAGCTTTTACCGGGTGACCTTGGGCCAATCGCTGCCTTTCAGCCTAACCTACCTCACTGGGTGGCTGGGTGGATTAAATGAGGAGGGGGAGAGCCGTGATTCTGCCATCTCCCTCTTTCCCCTAAAATGCCTGCTCTCTTTCCCCAGGACAAACTTTGGTACCCAGCGAGACAGCCACTGCAGCCATCAAGGCAGAAAGCCCAGCGGAGGAGCCTTCTCTGGCCCCCAACAATGGGCCCATTGGTAGGTCTCTCATTCTCAGCCCCACACAGAGAAAGGGGGAGACGGGCACCATCCAATCTCAAGCTCTTTCAATTTGTCTGGAGATTTTGCCGCTGCAATTTTCTTTAAAAAAAAATTATTAACAATTTCAACATACAAACTATCAGAATGTATCATCTTCATTATTTTTCCCCTTCCCCCCACCTCACCAACAAACCCTCCCCCCCCCAGACTTCCCTCAGCTCCTCTCTCTGATTTCTCAACACATATTGTTCTCTGCATACTGTGAAATTGTAGCTATCCTTATCTATCTAGTATATTAACCATCAATAGATTTGTGTATGTTTATTCAAAACCTGCCAAGGAGTCCAGTTCATTTGTTGTCTTTTTAGGTAGTTTGTAAAAAGTTCCCATTCTTCTTTGAAGTCACAGTTGTCCATATCTCGCAGTTTGTATGTCACTTTAGCCAGTTCTGCACAGTTCATCAATTTCTCTTGCCCCTGTTCTTTTGTCGGGGGTTCCTCATTCTTCCATCCTTGTGCTATCATGACTCTTGCAGCATACAAAAACAGATTCTTTATTTTCCTTGGCAGGTCTTGTCCTACAATCCCTAACAAAAATGCTTCTGGGTTTTTTTTACAAATGTCATTTTAAACATTTTCTTCAATTCATTATATATCATTTCCCAAATTTTTAAAATTTCTCTACATTCCCACTGCATATGATAAAAAGTCCCTTCCTTTCCTTTACATTTCCAACATGCGTTTGACCCGGTTTTATACATTTTTGCTATCTGTACTGGTGTTATATACCATCTATACATCATTTTCATATAATTTTCTTTTAAAAGAGAAGCCGCTGCAATTTTTTGTGGGTTTCATGGGACGGGACAAAAACCCTCCCCAGGACTTGGGGGGGGCATTATCTGACCTTTAAATGCAAAGGGGCTGAGCTCAGGGATGGGACTGATATTTCCTGATGCCCAAAGGCTGCTCTCTGCAACCCAACTGTGTTCATGAAAAAGAAGACCCCCGGGAAGGTCAGTGCCCAAAGGGGCCTCATCCCCAGAGAGTGCTCTGTGCCAGGAGGACAGGCCAGCAGCCAGGGGAGGGGAGAGGGGAGTAAGAGAGAGAGAGAAAAAACTTCCAACATTCTGCTTTTTTGCATGTCCACAAATTCTAGTGTTATCCATTCATTCATTCAATTTATATAGCGCCCTTTGAACAAAGACCTCAGGGCAGCGTACAACGTTTGTTGTTGTTGTTTAGTCGTGTCCACCTCTTCATGACCCCCTGGACCAGAGCACGCCAGGCCCTCCTGTCCTCCACTGCCTCCTGCAGTTTGGTCAAACTCATGCTGGTAGCTTCGAGAACACTGTCCCACCATCTGGTCCTCTGTTGTCCCCTTCTCCTTGTGCCCTCCATCTTTCCCAACATCAGGGTCTTTTCCAGGGAGTCTTCTCTTCTCATGAGGTGGCCAAAGTCTTGGAGCCTCAGCTTCAGGATCTGTCCTTCCAGTGAGCACTCAGGGCTGATTTCCTTAAGAATGGAGAGGTTTGATCTTGCAGTCCATGGGATTCTCAAGAGTCTCCTCCAGCACCATAATTCAAAAAGCACAATAATAAAAACATAATAATGCACAGCATAATCATAAAATCATAAAATCATAACAACAGTCTCTGCCCCAATTTAACAGGTTATTTAAGGGCCGACGGGTAAAGAGCAATGTCTGGTGCCTAAAGACACGCAATGATGGCGCCAGGTGAGCCTCTCTGTTAGGAGAGAGTCAGGAAAACTTGGCCCTCTCCACTTTCCCTAGGCCAGGCACTGTTTATGAACTTCCATTGCATTGTCTTTGGGCGTGAGCTGTGTCCTGTAAGGGTCCCCGTGGCCTCTCTGCACCCATCCTGCTCACCCAAGACCCTGGGCTTTGCCCTGGGCACCCTGGGCAGAGGAACAGCCTACTTTGGAGCAGATCCGTGATCCCGGCCCATTCACCCTTCTGTCCTGTGTTCTCTGTCCAGACCCTTAATTCCGAGACCATTTAACCCACCTGCTATGGACAGTGGTGGTTCTGGCATCATTCCAGTCCAACCATTCAAGACAGGGCTGCTTCTCAGTCCTCAGCCTCTCCGTGGGGTCCTGGTAGATAACATTGCAGGATCAGGCATGTCTAGGTCTCGCCCTGAACTTGGGCAGTGATGGAGGGCCCTTTCCTTTCTGCCCCTAACAGGCCACAGCGACCCCACGGAGAAGGTGGCGGTTCTGGTGTCTCTGGGCGTCTTTGCCTTCTTCGTCCTGGCGGTGATTCTGGTCTTCGCCTTTCTGATGTGGTAAGTGGGATTTCACCCTCCCTTTTCTCCAGAGGGGATGAGGCCCTTCCTCTCCAACACTTCTGCTGGAGCGCCTTCCTTGGGAAGGACCAGTTCCATATTTGGGGGGCCTCCGAGCCCTCAAACCCCAGCTTCTGCCTTTGGCATGGTTGCATCAGTGGGTGTGGCTCAACCTACGGTGATGGGAGGCAGGGCTTGCTCTGTGGTGGCCCCCAGTTGTGAACAGAGGAGAGATACAAGTCAGCTCATGATGGCAAGCCAGCCTACCGGATTTGCACTTTCAGAAACAGCGCCCAAATCTAAACACAGGCATCCCACCGCACTCCCACATCTCTGAATGTTGCAGTGGGGTTCTCCAGTTGAGTAAAGTGTGGATAAAAATGCATTTATTAGGGGAAATCGCTTTGCAAAAATATGTGCGTTAGGGGAAGTTACCAGTGGGTAATGGCCGGTGGGAAGTCTGGCAGGGGAGAAGGTCTGGCTGCCACTTCCAGCCCCACATCCTGCAGGGGGTTGGGCTGGATAACCCTTTGGACCCCTTTCAACACTACAGTTCTGTGATTGTGTCCCTGCCCCGTCCTCTGCCCAGCCTGGCCTGTTGTGTTTCGCTGGCTGGAATCCACCCCGATTCTGGAGACCGTCCACCTAAAACAAGACGCAAATTGGTTGTGTCGCCAGGGCTGGGGCTGGTGGGAGAGTCGGAATAAAGGTTTCCAGTTCCGGGGAAGGGAAGTCCAGATGGGCAGAGAGGCTGCACTGGGTTGCCCTTGCTTGGAAGAGCCTCAGAAAGGCCCTGCCAGAGCAGGAGGCAGAACACAGCAAGGTGGGACCCTCCAGTCCACAACCTGGGCAGTTCATTCATTTAGATCAGAGGCTCCCAAACTTTTTTGGACCACTGTCCTCTCAGTTCCATGAGCTCATCTCTAGGGCCCCTTACACCACCCGATACCCTATAAAAAGTGTTACAGTTTGCACAACCCACTAAGGAAGGCAGCAACACAATCAAATCCAAAACAGCAGCAATGTTATGCACGTTTATTGAAAATCAAATTAAAACGGTTTAGTTTAATGCAGCAAAACGGATGCACTTGATTCAGCCATGCCAGCTTTTCAAAGTCTCATAGCCACTCACACCTCCAGCCTCCCCCGCCCCCGCTGCCCCCTTGCCTATCCCCCCCGCCTGGTAACCTCCCCCCCCCCCAGCTGGTGTGGCCAGAGTACCACGCACTCTGGGAACCACCAATTCAGATTTATAAAAATATATTTGCAGACGGCCCCCTCCTGTCAAATATCAAGGTGGCATACAAACCAATCTAGGGCCTTTTAAAAGTGTGGGGGGGTGGAATATTGTTGTTTTCTAGTCTTATGTCCTGCGTTTTGTTTATATGCTGTAAGCCACCCTGCAGTCTTCGGATGGAGAGCGGTATATAAATTTAATAAATCGTCATGTTAAAAAGTGCAAGAATGAAAAAAGCAAAATCCTATGAAAACAATACAAAACAATCGTAGAATTGTAGAGTTGGAAGGGGTCCTGGGGGTCATCTAGTCCAACCCCCTGCAATGCAGGAATCTCAGCCATAGCACCCATGACAGAAGGCCACCCAACCTCTGCTTAGAAACCTCCAAGGAAGGAGAGTCTATCGCCTTGCAAGGGAGACCTGTTCCACTCCCAAACAGCTCTCACGGTCAGAAAGTTCCTCCTTGTGTTGAGTCAGGATTTCTTGTGATTTGAATCCATTGGCCCTGGTCCTCCCCTCCAGAGCAGGAGAAGACATGGTCTCCCCACCTTCCATGGGGCAGCCCTTCTGATAGTTGCAGATGGTCAGCCCACCTCCTCTCAGTTTCCTTTCTTCCAGGCTAAACATGCATCCCATGGCTAAGCGCCCCCCCCCCCGCCTCAATTCTCTCCCCCTCCCCATCTCTCCCAGGGTCCGAATGAAGAAGCACAGCAAAGAGGCCACGAAAAACCACGACCTCCTTGCCGCTGCCATCCACATGAAGGCCTTGCCCAGTGAGTACAGCACCTTGTGGGGGGGGCGAGGAAGGGGAAGGGGACAAGATGCTCCCCCAAGAGGGGACGGGGCAGGAGCATCTCCACCTCAGAGTGCACAGACCTCCTCTGGCTGGAAGCCTCCCTCTAGCATTGCAGGATAAGGCCACCCTCTTGCTGGCTGCTGACTATTCAAGGCCGTCTGAATTTGGGTGGGTTTCCTTATTTATTCCCGCTTCCCTTGTCAGGGGCTGGGCCTTGATTCTGGGGGTCAACCCTACCTGGACTTCTGTTTACCTGAAAACAGAAGATCCGCCACCCCTTTTAAACTCTAAAAGCGTGGTCCGTTCTCTCTGAGACGATCACTCTGTGCATGCTCAGGAGTACTCTTGTCTCCTTTCCCCTTTATATCTCTGACATAAAAAGGTAAAGGGATCCTTGACCATTAGGTCCAGTCGTGGCCGACTCTGGCGTTGCAGTGCTCATATTGCTTCACTGGCCGAGGGAGCGGGCGTTCAGCTTCCGGGTCATGTGGCCAGCAGGACTAAGCCGCTTCTGGCAAACCAGAGCAGCGCACGGAAACACTGTTTACCTTCCCGCCAGAGCGGTACCTATTTATCTACTTGCACTTTGACGTGCTTTCGAACTGCTGGGTTGGCAGGAGCAGGGACCGAGCAACGGGAGCTCACTAATGGTCAGGAGTCCCTTTACCTAAAATGTTCCACACAGAGCTGCCTGGCCATTCCTGGAAGCTCAGCCATGTAGACGTTGCAAAGCTTGCAGCATTGAGCAGAAGAGACATTAGCAGGGAGATTTGAGATTTCCCTGCATGATCCTGCATGACGGAGCTTCCCAAGGGCTCAGGCGGCTTCCTGGATGGGGCTGCTGCAAAGAACCGCCTGCAGGCTAGCAGATTTCATAGAACTGCAGAGTTGGCAGGGACCCCTGGTGATCATCTAGTCCAACCCCCCGCAATGCAGGAATCTCAACTAAAGCATCAACTGGGATGCACATCAGCAGGCAAGCAGGACAGGAGACTCTAGTCCTCAGTGTGGCTGCTGGTCCGTCTGGTGCCAGGACGCTCTCCTCTGGTTTTTCCTTCTCCCTGCACGTCGGTTGTTTTGTTTTCTCTATTGCCCTCTTAGTTCTCATTCATTTATCCCATAAAATCTATACACAGCTTGAATTTCCTTTTTAATAATAAAAAAAAATCAAAGTGGTTTACAAAGAGAGTAAAACAGTAATCCAGCAGAGGGCCTTCTCAGTAGTGGCACCCACCCTGTGGAATGCCCTCCCATCAGATGTCAAAGAGATAAACAACTACCTGATATTTAGAAAACATCTGAAGGCAGCCCTGTTCAGGGAAGTTATTAATGTGTGGTATTTTAATGTATTTCTAATCTTTGTTGGAAGCCACCCAGAGTGGCTGGGGAAACCCAGCCAGATGGGTGGGGTACAAAAAATAAATTATTATTATTATTATTATTATTATTATTATTATTATTATTATTATTATTATTAAATTATCTGTAAAAGCAACTCTTTAAAATGCACAAAAGATGCAATCGGCAATAGACTCAAAACCCATTAAAACTCACATCAACTTTCTAAACTTCTGGGCGGGATTGTTGAACCGGAAATCTTTTTAGAAAGCGCTGGAGAACAGTAATGTTGTCACTGAGAAAAATCTGCAATAGTTTAAAACACACAGAAAGCTAAAATCCTCAAACAAACAAAAACTCACACCAGTTTCTTGGGCAACTCAGTCGGCTTGTCGAAGCAAGAATGTTTTTCTCAGGCAATTCTATGACTGCTCCTCCTTCTCTCTTTCCCCTCCTGCAGAAGCTCAGATCTTGTAGCAAGGACCCCTCCCCACCACGCCAACAAGAGGGACATCAACGCCACTGACCTCGCCAGTCGCAGCTACATATTGACTGGGGGGCACTGAGGATGCCCCTCTACTGACCCCACCACCATGGAAGGACTTACTTAGGAAAGAAGCTCATCAACAGGACATTTGGGGTGGTGTATTGGCCCTGGGGGGCACCCCTGCTGGCTGAGCACCAGCCCCCCCAAGACCTCCTCTTCTCCCCCTGTTTCCACATGCAGACTGAATGCTGTTTTGGGACTGACCGACAGCCTCTGGACAGCTAAGGAGGAGGAGAATGTTGAGATTTCGTTGCCCGCCGAGCCTGGCAGAGGGCGTCAGCGCCAGTAGGTGTTGGCTGGCACAGCTTGGGGCAAAAGGACCACACAAACCCCCAGTCTGGTGCCCCCATCACCCGCAAGGAGCCAGAGCATGACTCTTGGGACAGGGGGACTTTGGGGGTACACTGCCCTTCCCTCCACGGTTGCCCCGAGCCTAAAGGCAGCATCGCTTATGGAACCTGCTTCCCTGGAGCCCAGGCAGGGCATGGCAGGGGTGTGTGTGTGTGTGTGGCATCTGCAGGGCATGGAGGATTGGGGGTGGGATCCTGCACCCCGTTCCAGGAAGGGAGCATCAACCAGGGGGAGACCTCAGGGGGCAAGGCGATGGCAAAAGCCTCACCAGGAACCACAAAGGCAAGGAACAAGGATGGCAGAGCTATGGAATTGGGGGTTTTCAATATGTCACTGCTCCCAGCAGCCCCAGTTAGGATAATGGGAGCTGGAAGACAGAAACATTTGGAGGGTCCCCAGCCCTGAAGGAGGGCGACCATCTGTGTGTGTGTGTGTGTGTGTGTGTGTGTGTGTCCGTCCGTGTGCACACGTGTAAACTTGTACAGATGCAGCTACTCTCAGCGTTGGAAACCTGGAACTGAATTCTCTTTGTTGCAATGAATATTTAGCATATAGAGCTGGGAGGACATCAGATTCTGCTTGTATCGGTTCAGCTCAACTTCAGGGCAAAGCAAGCAGGATGCTAGAGCGTTGCACCCAAAGAAGAGTTTGGCACACGGTCAGCGTGCTGGAAATGCGAGGAGGCTGGGCTCACTAGGCTTCCACGCTCTGGCATTCAGAGGCAGCTCCTTACGGGATCCTGTGTGCGGGGCTGTGGGTGCAGATTCAGCTATGATGGTAACACAAAAGCTGGGAAATACCTTGTTAGGTGTGGGTTGGGAATCTTAGTTTTTTGGGGGGTGGTTAATAAAAAGGAAGCATGTTTCTCACTGTTGATGATCAGCATGTGGGAAACACCTGCTAGGACTTCAGAAGGTGAAGACCCTGGAGGAGGAGGGGGCTGGGAGTGGGATTAGTAGCCCTTTTTCTCTGCCCCCTCTCCGCCATGCCAGCCTGCCCCTTCCAATCCCTAGACCCCCCCCCCCACTTAACCCCTCTGTGCATTGGACTTGGAGGAGAGAAGAGCCTTTAAATGGGATCAGCTCAAAGGGTCCCATCTAGTCCAGGTTCCCCTTCTGACGGTGGCCGGCGAGGGGGCCAAATGGGAAGTCCGTCCCCCTGCAGGACCGGAAGGCAACTGCCCTCTCTCCACCAGCCGTTCCCAGCGGCTGAGAACTGTGCCGGCAGAACAGAGCCATCGTTGCTGGTAGCCAAGGGAAGCTGTGTCTGTTGGGGGCTCCCCTAAGCCTCTTTCAAAGCGTTCCAAGTTGGTGGCCACCCGTACCTCTTCTGGGAGAAGAGGGCGCTTCTTGTGGGTTCACACCTACACACAGAGAGAGATGCATACATTCTTCACACAATTAATATAGAGATCAGGAGGCAGCTGAGGTGGGGGGAGAGCTTTCTTGGAGATACAAGCAGTGGAAGGAATCAGCAAGTTGGATGGGACCCCCAAAAGTCCTCTATTCCAACCCTCTGAAATGCAGGAACCACAACTAAAGTGCCATATTTTTCGCTCCATAAGACGCACTAGTTTCAGAGGAGGAAAACAAGAAAAAAAATATTCTAAACGAAACAGTGAATCATAGAATCATAGAGTTGGAAGAGACCACAAGGGCCATCGAGTCCAACCCCCTGCCAAGCAGGAAACACCATCAGAGCACTCCTGACATATGGTTGTCAAGCCTCTGCTTAAAGACCTCCAAAGAAGGAGACTCCACCACACTCCTTGGCAGCAAATTCCAGTGGATGTATGATTTTTGTGGTTCATGTTGTGGCCACAGACATGTGATCTGATGGTGAATTTGGGATGACCCAATGCAAAAATCCTGAGGATCCATGTGGATCCATGCTTTGTAACTACATTTTTGCACCATTGCAGCCCCACGAAACAGTGGATGCGTTTTTTTTTGGTGCAGGCTGTAGCCATGGACATGCTATGTGATCTGATGGTGAATTTAGGGTGACCCAATGTAAAAATCCTTAGGACCCATGGGCTTTTACCTCCCCCCTCCCAGGCAGTCTTGTCCCTTATCTCTCCCAATCCCACCGATCAGCTGCTTCCTTTCAACACCCCCTTCCCTCTTGTTTGCCTTAGTGTCTTTTCCTTAGCTGGAGCAGTTTTTTGCTCCTCCTTTTCTTCTAATTTCTCTCCTTATTTCTTTAGACTTCCTGTTTCCCCCTTTGCAAGTTTGCTGTCTTTACCTCCCCTTCCCAGGCAGCCTCCTTTATCTCTATCGTCCCTTATCTCTCTCCCCAATCGGCAAATGATCAGCGGCTTTGTTTCAACACCCACTTCCCTCTTTCAAAAAAAGAGAGCATGATCTGCTTTTTGCCCCTGGGCAATTCGGCTCCAGGGACCACGCATTCGCTCCATAAGATGCACAGACATTTCCCCTTACTTTTTAGGAAGAAAAAAAGTGCATCTTATGGAGAGAAAATACGGTATCTCTAACAGGTGGCCCTCCTGCAAGTCAGCAGGGGAAGAGCAGAAAACCTTCCTCTCTGCAACTCAGTGACTTCCACGCCCTCCCAGGTGGCCAAGGCCTTCTTCCGCATGCAGGCTTTGGGTGCGCATTCCCACAAAGACTCAGGATAGACAGAAAGGTCTCCTTGCAAAGCATTTTGCTACAAGCTGTGGTGGCATCTGTGGGCTTTAGCGCAAGTCAGGTGGAGATGGTTGACCTCCCGGCATCCTTGGACCGCAACTCTCATCAGTCCTGGCCATCAAAATTAGGCTGGCTGGGTTCTGATAGGAATTGGAGTCCAGCAGAGGAGAGGAGAGGTCTAGTGGTGGTTGTCGGCCACAATACCTTCAATAGAACCTCCATCTTCAGAGGCAGTCTACCTCAGGACACAAATGTTGGGGATGGAGGCACTGTGGCCATTGCACTCTACTTATGGGAGTCCCGGAAGCACCTGGCTGGCTGCGGAGGGAGACAAGATGCTCGCTGAGACGGATCCTGGCCTCAAATGCAGCCGCCACTCACGGTCTTCCTATGCTCTGTGGTTGTGTGTGTGTGGCCTGGTTCTGCGGAGCGAGGTGAACAAATTGCCTGTCGTGTTTAGGGAGTGTGTCGATGCACATGTTCCCCAGGGTGCTTCTGTTCCGGAATGTGTGTATGTGTGTGCAATTAGTCTGCGCTGTCTCCCGCAAATCCCGGGTTCACGGGTTTAAGGTGTGGGTCTGGGCAAGGCTTCCTGCCTCTGCGCTCCCACTGCCTCCAGGCCCCTCTGAGCAATCGCTCGCACACGTTTTGGCCGTGCCAACCCACCACCCCGGAGCCAGCGAGCGGATGAGGTGGGGCCAGCCGTGCGGTGAGGAGTGTCTGGCCTTTGCCAGCCCCGGAGGCAGCAAACTCGATGGAAACTTCCTGAGATGAAGGCAAGCAGTGGCGGCGGCAGCAGGCGCCAGATGACAGGAGGGGAGAGGAGGTGGGGAGGCTAAAAATAGCCAGGAACACTTTCTCCTGCCAGGATGCTGGCATGGCTGGACCACAGCACGGGGGTCAAAGCGATGCTCCCTGCCAGCTGGAGGAAAGGCTACCTGGAACCTCCTTGTTTTGAGGCGGAGGAGAGGAAGGGCTCAGTGCCTCAAGAAGGACTGCAGATGCCTCTAGTTTGTTGCTCCTCTCAGGCAGCAGCAACTTAGCTTCAAGGAAAGTTTGGGGTTAGAGGTGACATGATAGATGTTTGCAAAACAATGCCCGGCCTGTATAAATTGGAGAAAGAAAAAGTTTCTCCCCCTCCTCTTAACAACTACAACTGACGCTGAATGTTGAGAATTTTGGGACAGATAAAGTTCTTCATGCAGTGCAGATTTAAACTGTGGAACTCACTGCCACAGGAGACAGTGGTTGGCCACTGTGAGAGCAGGAGGCTGGACTAGATGGGCCATTGGCCTGATCCATCCAGCTCTTCCTGTGTTCTTGTGAATTGTGGGACTGGCTTACAGATTGGTTGACAACTCAAGCAACAATTACTAACCCATTGGTTCCCTGGCAGGTCATTGTAGGGAGAAGTTTTGTGCATGTCCAGACTGGCCAGGAAGAGGGAGTTGGAGAGGTCAGGTGTGCCGTCTTCACAGAGGGAACCTCGTGAGTTTATGGTGGAAACAGGGGAGGTGGAGAGCATGGGCACCGATGTGCATGTGTTGCGCTCAGTGTGTACACTCCCCTTGCCTTCGCTCCATAGAAAAGATTTCCATTTTGTTTGGGGGCTCTCCCCTCTCACTCTGGAGTGCTGTGCAGGTGCCTCTCAAGGACATGAGAAGAGCCCAGCTCCTGTGCTGAATCAGGCCAAGGGGTCTCCATCTAGCCTGGCCTCCTGTTCTGGGGCCAACCAGGGGCCCCAAATGGGAACCCCCCCCCAGCAGGTCCTGAGCACAACTGCACCTCTCCCTGCTCTTGCTCCCCAGGAACAGGTATCTGGAGACATCTCTTTAAATGCCCCCAATCACTGTGATTTCTGCATTGCAGGCGATTGGGTCATTGCAGATGACCTCAGGGTGCCTTCCAGCTCTGCAACAGAGGAGGTCATCACCACAGTGAAATGGGAGAATGTCAACTTCATTTTTCCTCATTTCCAGGGGGTGGAGAAATTCTCCCACCCTTTTTCCAGCACAGGTGTCCATTAGCTCGCGCAAGAGCACAAGGTCTGACCCAGTCTTTCAAGCCCATTTTGCTGTAGTTGGACTGCCTGCTGCCACCGGGGCCCTTCCAGGACATTATAGGGCATGGGTAGGCAACCTAAGGCCCGGGGGCCGGATCTGGCCCAATTGCCTTCTAAATCCAGCCCACGGACGCTCTGGGAATCAGCGTGTTTTTACATGAGTAGAATGTGTCCTTTAATTTAAAATGCATTTGTGGGTTATTTGTGGGGCAGAGGAATTCATTCATTTTTTTTCTTCCCAAAATATAGTCCAGCCCCCCATAAGGTCTGAGGGACAGTGGACCGGCCCCCTGCTGGAAAAGTTTGCTGACCCCTGTTATAGGGCATCTTGGGGACAGTGGCTTCCACGCGCACACACATGAAATGATGGGGAAGTATTTGGAATAAATTCTGTGAAGGGGCTTCTTTCTCTAGAGTAGGCACTGGATTTTCCTTGGGGGGAATGCCTTCTGAGAAATTTCAGATCCACTGTTACTGATTCCTCTACAGGACTGTCCATCTATCCAGCATTTTAAAAAGGGCCGGGGTGTAAATGTGAAGGGGTTTCAGTACAGCTACCCTGCAGCCTGGCAGGGCCCGCCTGCATTTTGGGTGAAGGGTGGCATCCACAGGCTGGCATCGCACCCCTTTTAGGCGATTGTGCGGAAGGGTCCTTTGGTGCTGTGTGCGTGCATGCATGTGTGTGTGTGTGTTCAGGGGGAATTTCATATCCGGTGCAGAACGCAGCATTCCCACGGTTTTAAAAAGAATGCCATGCCTCTGTCCCTGATGATTGCGGAAACGAGATTGAAACGGAGGGGCCTTGCCTGGGGAGCTCCCGGAAGCTAAGAGGATCCTGAGCAGGGTCTGTTAGGGCTTCAGCAGTCTGAGCCCACTCCCAGCAAGCTGCTGAATAAATAAACCATGCAAAAAGGAACAATAAATTATGCAAAGCAGCAAGCTATTCAAAATTGGGGGGAGGGAGGAGGCAAAACCCACAAAGCGCACAATTCTACAAAAAGTGCATGATTTATTCCGCTTGCAAATTCTTGGCTTTCCTTGGTGCAGGGTGTGTGTGTGTGTTGTGTGTGTGTGTGTGTGTGTGTGTGTGTGTGTTACTTTGGTTTGCAATTTGTTTTTCAGACTGCTTTAGAGAGATCCGAGATTCTGTGTGTGAGTCAATGAGATTCCTGATCCCAGAAGGGCAATGGATGTGGTGTATGTGTGGGGCTTGCAGGAGTGGGGGGAGACCAGCTGGCCCTCCATGCTGCCCCCACCCCTGCCTCCAAGTTGCCAGTGACAGCTCTGCTCTCTCCCTTCCTGGCATCCACAAAGATCCCCATTCCACAGCTGTCAACGTTTCCCTTTTTTAAAGGGAATTTCCCTTATTCCGAATAGGATTCCTCGCAAGAAAAGGGAAAAGTTGACAGCTATGCCCAGTTCCAAAAGAAGTTGCCGCCTTCTCCTGCTGCTGCTGCTGCTGCTGCCGCCGTCCCACAGTCTTCTCTGCTCTTCCAAAGAAATTGACCCCAACCAAGCAAGGACAAGCAAAGTTCTTCATTCCCCTCTCCATCGATTCTGGCCATGGGCTCTTCTAAGCTGGCTCCCTCGGGTGCTCTCGTTTCAGGTGGCATTTGGTGCCCCGCAAACCTGGTTGCAATAAGCTAACGCCGGACTGTGTAACAGCTGTGGGCTCGTCACACTCGTGTATAAATAAAAATGAAGGAAAGTGAGCTTTTTGTTACTTCTGGGGCTTCCCGGACAAAAAAGGGTGGGTGGGGAGCAATCCCCTACAAGCAATTCAGTGCCGCTCTGCGCTGCCAAAGGTGAGTCGAGGCCACACACAGCCCAACAACTGTCTTCCTCCTGGAACCCTTCGCATGGCGAGCAGGTATGACCCTCCTGGAAAGGTGAGGGGCTTGGGGAGGCGGAGAACAGGCAAGCAGCTTGCCATCGTCTTAGGACAAGACACCTCCTACCTCTGGACCCCACAGTCAGAGATGTGGACCTCAGGAACAACCAGCTGCTAGAATTCCAGAGGAGGGAGACTCCCTGTTTTCTTGCTGCGCTGTTTTCCTACCTAAGCTATCCCCCTCTCCCCAAAAGATTTAGAATCATAGAATTGTAGACGGCCTCGGCCCAGTATACCTGAAGGAGCATCTCCACCCCCCATTGTTCTACCCAGACACTGAGGTCCAGCTCCGAGGGCCTTCTGGCGGTTCCCTCCCTGCGAGAAGCCAAGTTACAGGGAAGCAGGCAGAGGGCCTTCTCGGTGGTGGCACCCGCCCTGTGGAACGCCCACCCACCAGATGTCAAAGAGAAGAACAACTACCAGACTTTTAGAAGACATCTGAAGGCAGCCCTGTTTAGGGAAGCTTTTAATATTTGATGAATTATTGTATTTTAATATTTTGTTGGAAGTTGCCCAGAGTGGCTAGGGAAACCCAGTCAGATGTGGGGTACAAATGTACCCCACATCTGACTGGGGTACAAATAATAATATTAATAATAATAATAATAAGAGTCCACCGCTTCCTGAGGGAGACCATCCCCAGTCGAACAGCTCTTACTGTCAGAAAGTTCCAGTTACAGATAGGTAGCCGTGTTGGTCTGCCATAGTCAAAACAAAAAAAATTCCTTCCAGTAGCACGTTAAAGACCAACTAAGTTGCATGCACACGAAAGCTCATACCAAGAACTAACTTAGTTGGTCTTTAAGGTGCTACTGGAAGGAATTTTTTTTTTTGTTTTGTCAGAAAGTTCTTCCTGATGTTTAGTCAGAATCTTCCCCCCTTGTAACTTGAAGCCAGCTTTCTAAGCAGAGTTCAGTTGGCCATCTGTCAGGGATGCTTTAGCCGAGATTGCTGCATCGCAGGACGTTGGACTAGATGACCCTTACGCTACACATCTATGAAAGGATTTTGTGAGGAGCACTGAGATTGTGCCTCCATGCAAATGCAGGGCTTTTAATTCCCCTCACACACACCCCAATGTACCGTATTGGCCCGAATATAAGCCACACTTTAAATTTTCATGATTGGAATTTGGAAGGGGGGAAAAGGTGCAGCTTATATTCGGGCCAATACGGTATATTTGTGCTGAAATGTCTTTTAATAGCAGAGCCTGAGTTTCTGTTCCAAAGGAATTCTTCCCTCGGAACCATCACCCTCTGGTGGCAGAAGACACAAACAGTCCATCCTGGGCAAAAAAGAAATTTGGCAGCTGGAGTTTCAGGAAGTTAAAGGAAGAAGCTTTTAATTTCCAGGGTGTTGCAGATTTCAGTCCTTCCAAAGAACAGCAACTGGGATATATCTGGGCGGCCAGCGCTGGGCAGGGCAAATAGAGGCTTGTGTTGCATCCTTCGGGATCTGGCTAAAGATAGGGGGCATATTTGGGGGGGAGGTAGTGATGGGGTGAGACCGGGGTCCTGGCAGCAGGGAAAACATCACAGGAAGCGCCCCCTGCCTGGGGTCAACTGGAGGGAGGAAAAGGCAAGAAAGATGAGAGGAGCGCAAAGCCATCTTTCGCCCCATCAAGCATGAGTCCCACACCCCGGAGCAGGCTTCCCCAACCAGGCGCACGACAACTGACATCAGCCAGAGCCATTCCCGGCCCCCTTTGCGTCCAGCCTGGCTGTGGTCTCTCCTTGCTGGTGTCTGCCTCGGAGCTGGCTCTGGATGGCGGTTGTGGGGAGACTCACAAACGGAGGAGGAGAGGAAGCTGCCTTATACAGAATCTCCCCCATCTAGCTCCATATTGCCTACACTGGCTGGCAGAGGCGCTCCATGGTTTTGTAAGAACAAATCCAGCATCCTGTTCTCCCAGCAGCTGACCAGATGCCTCTTCTGGGAGACCAAGCAGAATTCAAGCACAAGGGCAACCTCCGACTGTAGAGGCAGAGTACAGCCATCCTGGCTAGAAGCCATCCATAGCCCTTTCCTCCTCCAATAATTTGTCCCATCCTCTCTTAAAGCCATCCAGCTTTGTGGCCATCCCTGCCTCTTGTGGGAGGGAGTTCCACTGTCTAATGATGCTCTGCATGAAGCAGTGGCTTAGTGCGGGGTGGGGGCAGATTCTTGGCAGGCACAAACCAGGCACCCCTGCAGAGATCATGCCCTGCTGGCCATCAGTGGCAAGGGCCGGGTGACTGCACAGGATGCTCTTCACACACACACGCCCTACCCCTGCCCAGTGTGTGAGCACCCGCCTGGCATCAGCCTGGCAAAGAGCGCTACACCCCTGGTATGAAAAAATACTTTATTTTATCCTGACTCTTCCAGCGGGTGCGGAGTTTTACCTTACCCCACTTGGAAATGGCAGGATTGAACCTGGAACCTTCTACATGCAAAGCAGGTGCTCTACATCTAAGCTACGGCCTTTTTCCGTAAAGTTTGTGCCCTCTGGTCGTTCCAGGTTCAGAGGGGAGCAGCCATGGCTCTGGGGCTGAGCCATCTGTCTAGGCACGTCTGCTACTGGGAGGAGATTCAATTTCACAGCTGATGTCGCCGCCCCCCCATGCACTGTGAAATCGTAACCCCTTGCCTCGCCTTTGCGCCAGCTTGTTTCACTCCCTCTTGGGTTTCCGAAACAAAGCTTCTGGAAGCCAAGATCAGAGAAGGAGGCCCAGAGTTTGGTGTCAGGGAACATGCGTTGGCATGCAAAGGCTCCCCCATGGCATATCCAGTTAAAAGGATCTCAGGTTGCAGAGTAACACAGCTTCATGCATGCTCACGAACTTGGTGCTCTTGCGAAAGCAACACTAAACATGATGGATGACACCGGAATTGGCTCCCTGCTCATGAGTCAAACCATGCCTGGCGGAATTTGAGCTCCCCTGCCAAACAAGAGTCCTTTAAAGGGGAGAGCAGAGCTCGTCTTCCTTCTTCTAAGTTAAAGCTAAAAACCTCCTTAACTGCTTAAGAGGATCTTCACAAGGAAGGCAATTTAGGGCTCTTCCCAGGGGAAAGTGGCGGGGAAAGTGGAAGCGGAGACAAGCCCTTAGTTGAACTTTTAAGGCATGGGTAGGCAAACTAAGGCCCAGGGGCCGGCTCCGGCCCAATCGCCTTCTAAATGTGGCCCACGGACTACCCGTGTTTTTACATGAATAGAATGTGTCCTTTTATTTAATATGCATCTCTGGGTTATTTGTGGGGCATAGGAATTTGTTCATTCCCCCCCTAAAAAAAAATAGTCTGGCCCCCCACAAGGTCTAAGGGACAAGACCTGCTGAAAAAGTTTGCTGACCCCTGTTTTAAAGGAAAGGTACCATAAGTAGTTCTAAAGGTAAAGGGACCCCTGACCATTAAGTCCAGTCGTGGCTGACTCTGGGGTCGCGGCGCTCATCTCGCCTTATTGGCCGAGGAAGCCGGCATACAGCTTTCGGGTCATGTGGCCAGCATGACTAAGCCGCTTCTGGCGAACCAGAGCAGCGCATGGAAACGACGTTTACCTTCCCACCGGAGCGGTACCTATTTATCTACTTGCACTGCTAGGTTGGCAAGAGCAGGGACCTAGCAACAGGAGCTCACCCCATCGTGGGGATTCGAACCGCCGACCTTCTGATCGGCAAGTCCTAGGCTCTGTGGTTTAACCCACAGCACCACCCGTGTCCCTTTCAGTAGTTCTACTAATCCTTTTTTTAAAATCAAATATCTGCACGAGGTACCACTGTATGGCATTACCAGAACTGTATGTGTGTTTTAAATTTCTATTCTTACGGTGGTTTTCTGCTACTTCCAGAGATACCTTATTTTTGGCTCTATAAGACTCACTTTTCCCCTCCTAAAAAGTAAGGGGAAATGTGTGTGCGTCTTATGGGGCGAATGCAGGCTGCACAGCTATCCCTGAAGCCAGAACAGCAAGAGGGATTGATGCTTTCACTGCGCAGCGATCCCTCTTGCTGTTCTGACTTCTGAGATTCAGAATATTTTTTTTTCTTGTTTTCCTCCTCCAAAAACTAGGTGCGTCTTGTGGTCTGGTGCGTCTTATAGAGCGAAAAATACGGTAATTTCCTAGCGAATGTTGTGAAGCTGCCTTGCTGCTGCTGAAGAGACAGTCAGCCGGACATTGGATGCTGTTTCTATCATGCCACCAAGGCCTCTTTTGGGGGGTGGGGGAGTGAAGAGCTGCAGCCCAGAGCCAGAGCATCAACTTTGCATGCATAAGCCTCAGGTTTGATCACCAGTGACATTATTTCCAGATAAACCAAAACCCTGGAAGGCAACTGACCAGTTGCTGAACACAGTGGCGTAGCGTGGGTTGTCAGCACCCGGGGCAAGGCAAGTAATTTGCGCCCCCTAGAGTGAGTGAGCCAGGTAGGGGCAGAGAGCTGCGAGTGCCCCCCCCCAGTTGTTGCGCCCGGTGCGGCTGGCCCCCCTGCACCCCCCACGCTACGCCACTGGCTGAACACCTGCTTTGGTTGACCACACATCCCATTTCTGCTGCGTACCTTGTCACGGCTGCACCCTTTTGTCTCTCCTGCACATCCGGAGCCAAGGGAAGAAGTAGAAGCAGCCCCAATAAATCCTGCAAGAGAGAAAGGGGGGGGGGAGAGATCCAGGCTGCTGAGCAGAGAGGCTCCCACCTCGGGGAGGGAGAAGACCTGCAGGAGGGAAAGGAAGGTGGTCCCAGGCTCCTGAGAAGCAAGAGAGAGGATAGGTCAGAACAATGGCTGATCTAGTTCTCACAGGGAGCCTGCGGGAGAAGCCTGTGGGAAACTCTTAGGCAGGATTCAAGCACAAAAGGGCTCTTTTCTCCTGTGGTTTCCAGGAACCGGTTTTCAGAAGCATTGCTGCCTTGACCACAGTAGGCAGAGCGCAGCCATCCTGGCTAGTAATACTAATACTAATAATAATTTATTACTTATACCCTGCCCGTCTGGTGGGGCTTCCCCAGCCACTCTGGGCAGCTTCCAACAAAATATTAAAATACAGCAATGCATCAAACATTAAAAGCTTCCCTACACAGGGCTGCCTTCAGATGTCTTCTAAAAGTTTGGTAGTTATTTTTCTCTTTGGCATCTGGTGGGAGGGCGTTCCACAGGGCAGGCGCCACCACCGAGAAGGCCCTCTGCCTGGTTCCCTGTAACTTGGCTTTGCGCAGTGAGGGAACCGCCAGGAGGCCCTTGGTGATGGACCTCAGTGTCCGGGCAGAATGATGGAGGTGGAGATGCTCCTTCAGATCTACTGGACTGAGGCTGTTTAGGGCTTTAAAGGTCAGCACCCTGGAATTGCTTCTGCACTCACTCTTCGTGGACCGACTCTGACTCCCAGTCCAGCCTCCAGCCATTAGACTCCAGCCCTTCCTCTTGCCGAATGAGGTCTCCACCCTGCAGGAAAGAGAGTCAGCGTTGCATCTCAGCACCTCAGCATCAGCATCTCAGGCACCGTCATTAGCCAAGCCACATAGCTACATTGCATTGCCAACAATCCCGCATTAAGAACATGAGAAGAGCCTGCAGGATCAGGCCAACAACCCATCTAAACCAGCATCCCATTCCCACAGTGGCTAAACAGCTGTCATTATGGGAGACCGAGCATAAGAACAACACTCTCCCCTCCTGTGGGTTCCAGCTGGTATTCAGAAGCAGGGGCAGAACATCTCCTATTGCCGTGCAGGGTGGGTGAGCTTGCAGGGCTCTGTGCATGCCCATGGGGGGTGAGGGGGCATGTCATGGGGCACACTCATACACTGGAGCCCAGCAGAGGAGAGAGGCAGTGAAGCCACTGATCTGCCTGTCCTCCTGTCCACTGCTTCTGCCCCTGAGGCCAGGTTTGATGCAGAAGTGGAGCTGCAGCCAGCTGGCCTCCCCCTCCCTTTTGGCTGGCCCAGGGGTGGCCGTAAGGAGAAGGAGCCCTGAAGGCTGTGCCTGGGCGCAGCTTCCCTCGGTGAGGCAGCCTGCCATGAGGGAACCTGGTTGTGTTCCCTAAAAAAAAAAAAAAAGAGAGGCACAAATACAAGATGGGGGACACCTGGCTTGAGAGCAGTACATGTGAAAAGGATCTAGGAGTCTTGGTTGACCAACAAACTTGACATGAGCCAACAGTGTGACGCGGCAGCTAAAAAAGCCAATGCAATTCTGGGCTGCATCAATAGGAGTATAGCATCTAGATCAAGGGAAGTAATAGTGCCACTGTATTCTGCTCTGGTCAGACCTCACCTGGAGTACTGTGTCCAGTTCTGGGCACCACAGTTTAAGAAGGACACTGACAAACTGGAACGTGTCCAGAGGAGGGCAACCAAAATGGTCAAAGGCCTGGAAACGATGCCTTATGAGGAACGGCTAAGGGAGCTGGGCATGTTTAGCCTGGAGAAGAGGAGGTTAAGGGGTGATATGATAGCCATGTTCAAATATATAAAAGGATGTCACATAGAGGAGGGAGAAAGGTTGTTTTCTGCTGCTCCAGAGAAGCGGACACGGAGCAATGGATCCAAACTACAAGAAAGAAGATTCCACCTAAACATTCGGAAGAACTTCCTGACAGTAAGAGCTGTTCAACAGTGGAATTTGCTGCCAAGGAGTGTGGTGGAGTCTCCTTTTTTGGAGGTCTTTAAGCAGAGGCTTGACAACCATATGTCAGGAGTGCTCTGATGGTGTTTCCTGCTTGGCAGGGGGTTGGACTCGATGGCCCTTGTGGTCTATTCCAACTCTATGATTCTATGATTCTATGTCCCTCAAAAAAATGTGCCTGAGTCTATCCCCTACCCCCATGCTATGCCATGCTATGCTATGCCTTACGGGGTCCTTGCTGCAGGATCACGTTCATCCAATGCTTTACCAACTGCACTGGCTCCCGGTGGAGTACAGGATCAGGTTTAAGGTGCTGGTTTTGACCTTTAAAGTCCAATGCAGCCTAGGACCCTTGTACCTACGGGACTGCCTCTCCTGGTCTGCCCCGCGGAGGACCTTAAGGTCCACAAATAACAACACTGTGGAGGTCCCAAGCCTCAAGGAAGTTAGATTGGTCTCAACCAGGGCCAGGACCTTTTCAGTACTGGTCCCGACTTGGTGGAACACTCTGTCACAAGAGACCAGGGCCCTGCAGGACTTGACATCTTTCCGCAGGGCCTGCAAGACAGAGCTGTTCCACCTGGCCTTGGGTTTGGACTCAGTCTGACCCTTGTGTTTCCCTTCCCTTATGGTTTATCAGCTACTTTAAAATGAGGCTGCATTTTAAATTGCATTTTAACCTGTATTTTAAATTGGGCCCCCCCTCTCTTTTTCCCCTATTATGTTTTTACTGTGATTTTTTTATTGGTGTTAGCCACCCTGAAGCCAGCTCTGGCTGGGGAAGGCGGGGTATAAATAAAAATTATGATGATGTTCAGAAGCATTTCTGCCTCTGACTGTGGAGGCATCCATTGTCTGTACCATCAATACCAGCTGCTAGAAACCGCAAGCCAGGAGAAGGTTTGAGTGCTTGCTGGTTTCCCATTGAGGCTTGTGGTTGGTCCCTGTGTGATGGGCCACTTGCCTGCTCCAGAAGGCTCTCCTTGTGTTCTTGTGGTTCAGCTGTTCCCTCCACCACCACCACCTCCAGACATCCTTTACCTGGCTTCAGAATTGCCCACTTGCCTGAAGGCGGCACTTCTCTCCTTTCGCTTCCTGCTGCAGAGGCCTCTTCACCTCCTGGCTGCTCTGCGGATGAAACGATGGAGAAGGTCGGGACCCTTGTAAGGCCACGTGTGTGTTTGTGTGGTTGGAGGGCACAAAGTCCGCAAGGCTTTCCCGTCCTTGGCCCTACCTGCTCCACATATTCTGCTCCTTGCACCAACGGATCCTCACGCGCTCCGGCTTCCAGCTGCTGCTGCTGCTTTTTCTGGGGGCAGATACGGAGAGAACAGAGGTTCATCCGGACTGCGCCATCTGTTTTTAGGGAGCAGTGAAGTCGCCTGCCTGGTGTCAACAGGGAGTTCAAAAGTGTGGGAGATGCCACACTAAAATGGCTATTGAGCGGCATCTGCAGTAGTGCCAATTCTGCCAATTGCAGCAGTCGAGTGGGCACGCTTGGGGTAAGGCAATTTCGTAGGCAAACTGGTCCCAAGTTGCTCAGGGCTTTACAGTGGTACCTCAGGTTACAGATGCTTCAGGTTACAGACGCTTCAGGTTACAGACTCCGCTAACCCAGAAATAGTGCTTCAGGTTAAGAACTTTGCTTCAGGATGAGAACAGAAATTGTGCTCCGGAGGCACGGCGGCAGCGGGAGGCCCCATTAGCTAAAGTGGTGCTTCAGGTTAAGAACAGTTTCAGGTTAAGAACAGACCTCCGGAACGAATTAAGTTCTTAACCAGAGGTACCACTGTATATACTAACACTATAGGGACACAGTGGCGGAGCTTCATGCTCAAGCACTGGGAGGTGGAGAACAGGCAGGAGCGTGGCCAGTCGCCTGCATGGGCATGGCAGGCAGGAGGGGCAGCCGTGATGGCACCCCCCCCCAAGGATCACGCTGCCGGGGGCGGTGTGCTCCCCCCCCCCCGCTCCCCTCTTCCTCCACCAGTGTAGGGACGCGGGCTGTGCTGTGGTTTAAACCACTGTGCTGCTTGGGCTTGCTGATCAGAAGGTTGGCGGTTTGAGGCCCCATGATGGGGTGAGCTCCTGTTGTTCTGTCCCAGCTCCTGCCAACCTAACAGTTCAAAAGCACACCAGTGCAAGTAGATAAATAGGTACCGCTGTGGCAGGAAGGTAAACAGTGTTTCCATGCACTCTGGTTTCTGTCACAGTGTTTCGTTGCGCCAGAAGGGGTTTAGTCTTGCTGGCCACATGACCCGGAAAGCTGTCTGTGGACAAATGCCAGCTCCCTCGGCATGAAAGCGAGATGAGCACAGCAACCCCATAGTCACCTTTGACTGGACTTAACTGTCCAGGGGTCCTTTACCTTACCTTACCTTTTACCTCTACTAACACTGACACCTTGAACTTGCAACCAGCGTAAGTCTACTGACCTGGTAACCATGGTCTCCCCTCTTGGCTTTGCAGTTGTCTCTTCTGTCCCAACGTAGCCCAGACACCATCTCTCTCCTCTCCGACATGGACTGGGCAGTGGGGGCTTTGGGGGAATTGAGGCTGTACATCTCAGTCAACAGAGACTCCATGGCCACAGCAGAAGCCCCTGAGGACACCAAATACTTGGGTCAGCTGCACCCAAGAAGTGGGAATCCCCTGCCTTGCCCTGCCCTCCCTTTCCCATGAAGTGGAAGATTGCACCATCTCTTTAGGGTTCAGCTGCCCCTATCTGTTAGAATTCCTGCTCCGTGATGGCAGTCATGGGATTGTTGTCTTTCACATGACGGTGTATGTTTTGACTACACAAAGTGGGAAGTGATGGAGACAGGATGCTTGTGTTCCTGTGTTCCGTGAAGTGGGACTATTGTCCTTTGCTCTTTGCTGTCTGATGCTAGAGAGAGAGGGAGCCATGTTGTGGTGCTCCATGTGTGTTTATATGTAAATAAAGTAGATTAGCCAAAATGCTGAGTTGCTGAGGTCTGTTACGCAAGCTGCAAAGACTCCGCGGATCCCTAAGTGTACCGGTGTCGGTTGGCATCGGTCGCTGTGATGTTCGGGCTGAAGAAAGCTTATATAAATAAATCTGAATACAGAGGTGGAAAAAAGAATAATTTGGGACGCAAGTAAAGACGTGATGTGAGGTTTCCTGATACAACAGAATTCTATAAAGAGGAAAAAACAAAATGAGAAGAAGGATAAAATTATGGAAAAAATGAAAGAAGGAGAAAAGAAATTGAGGTCTAAACCAAAGTCTCATGAGATTTTGAGAGAAATTAAGTTTTACCAGATGCAGTATATGGAACTGATGAATCAAGAGATAGAATGGAAAATCAAGCAAATGAGACAAAGGACATTTGAATCGGCAGACAAATGTGGGAAACTTCTAGCATGGCAACTGAAGAAGAGGCAAAAATTGAATACAGTTACAAGTTTAGTGGTGGATGGAAAGAACATTTACAAGCCAAATGAGATTAGTAATTGTTTTCAGAGTTATTTCAGGAAATTATATGCACAAGGGCCAGTTAAGGAAGAAGAAATAGAAGAATTTCTAAAGAAATATGGATTACAAAAAATTTCAGAACAAAGTAAAATGATTTTGAATGAGAAAATAACTGGACAAGAAATAGAGGGTGCCATTCAGAATATGCAACTGGGAAAATCTCCAGGACCAGATGGTTTGACTGCTAGATATTATAAAGCATTGAAGGAATGGCTGGTACAACCATTGAAGGAGGTCTGTAATGAAATTATGGAGGGGAAAAAGGCACCTGAATCGTGGAAAGAAGCTTTTATTTCACTTATACCGAAAACTGAGACTGAAAAGAACCAGGTTAAAAACTACCGCCCTATATCACTACTTAATGTGGATTATAAAGTTTTTGCAGACATTTTGGCAAAAAGATTGAAGAGAGTGTTGGTAGGAGAGATTCATAAGGACCAGGCTGGCTTTCTTCCAGGGAGACATATGTCTGACAACGTGAGAAATATAATAGACATTATGGAATTGCTAGAAGTGAACATTAATACGAAAGCTGTGTTAATTTTTGTGGATGCGGAGAAAGCCTTTGATAATATTTCCTGGAGTTTTCTGAAGAAGAATCTCCGAGGGATGGGGGTAGGCCAAGGTTTTGAAAACGGTATAGGTGCAATATACTCTGAACAAAAAGCAAAATTAATAGTTAACAATGTGGTTACGGAAGAAATACCTATAGAAAAAGGAACACGACAGGGATGCCCAATATCCCCATTGCTTTTCATTTCGGTCTTGGAGGTTTTGTTAAATATGATTAGAGGGGACCAGCTGGTTAAAGGAGTCCAGGTCGGAGCCAGACAATACAAACTGAGGGCATTTGCAGATGACCTAGTACTGACTTTGCAACAGCCAGACACTAGTACAAAAAGAGTTTTAGAATTAATTGAAATATTTGGTCAGGTAGCAGGATTTAAATTGAACAAACAGAAAACTAAAGTTTTGGAGAAAAATCTAACAAATGCTGAAAAAGAGAGGTTTCAGAGTGAAACAGGTTTAGTGGTAGCAAAGAAAGTGAAATACTTGGGAATTAACCTAACATCTAAGAATGTGAACTTATTTAAAGACAACTATGATAAATGCTGGACAGAAGTAAAGAAAGATCTAGAAATATGGTCAAGGTTGAGACTTTCCTTGTTAGGCCGAATTGCTGTCATCAAGATGAATGTATTGCCGAGAATGTTATTTTTGTTCCAGACATTGCAGATTGTGGATAAGATGGATTGTTTCAAGAAGTGGCAGAAAGATATATCTAAATTTGTCTGGCAGGGCAAAAAGCCCAGAATAAAATTTAAGATACTAACTGATGCAAAAGATAGAGGGGGGTTTGCCCTGCCGGACTTAAGATTGTACTATGAATCGGCAGCTTTTTGCTGGTTGAAAGATTGGCTACTTCTTGAGAACACGGACATTTTAGATTTGGAAGGGTTTGACAATAGATTTGGTTGGCATGCATATATATGGTATGACAAGGTAAAAATCCATAAAGGTTTTAAAAACCATATTGTCAGGAAAGCATTATATAATGCAGTGTTTCCCAACCGGTGTTCCGCGGCACACGAGTGTGCCGTGAGACGTTGCCTCGTGTGCCGCGAGATGCCTGGAGGGAGGCGGGCGAGTCGGGCGGCGAGAGGCGGGGCGGCGGCGGCGAGGAGAGGCCGCGCCTCCTGCTGCTGCCTGGCGCTCCTCCTCGCAGCCGGCAGCGCTGCCTGGGCGCCTCCGCGCGACTCTGCCTCGCTGGGTTTGGTCTCCCAGCAGAGACGGGTCACACGCGCCCCTCCCTCCCTCCCTCAGCCTGCGCGGAGGGAGAGCCAGAGAGAGGCATCGCTCCTGCGCGGCGGGAGAGGGAGCAGCCGGAGCGATGCCCCAAACGAACGCATGGGACCGGAGGGGAAATCCTCTCCGAGGCGGATTGAGCGCAGCTGAGAGAAGCCTTTCGAGGAGCTGCCGTGTCCCCTGGAAACCCCCTTCCCAGCTCTGCCTCAGCCGCCGCCGCCTCAGTTGCCGCCGTCCCTCAGTCCCTCGCTCTGCTGCCTCCTCCCACCCCCAAAGCTTGGAGGTTCCCCAGCAAGGGGGAGGGAAAAAACTTTCACTTTTGTGCGTCCCTCCCGGCGTGACGCTGCGCGCTGACGTCACGGGGCGTTGCTTTAATGGTGGTGTGCCGTGAGATTTTTTTTCAGTAAACAGGTGTGCCGTTGCCCAAAAACGTTTGGGAAACACTGATATAATGTATGGATGCGGTATAAAGATTTATTGGAAAGTAAAACTCCCAGGTGGTTGTCACCAATGGAAGCCAAGGAAGTGAAAAAACTCAATATGGGGTCTAAATGGCCAAAATATTGGGAAATTTTAGAGCAAGATGGTGAAACAGTTAAATTACAGAGCTATGAGAAATTAAAGCCTAAAGTACGAGATTGGCTTCATTATCTTCAGATAAATGAGGTATTTAAATAGGACAGGAAAATAGGCTTCCAGACGGAGAGGTCAAAACTAGAAACAGAACTGTTAGAACCCAATACTAAGAATTTGTCAAGAATGTATAATTTGCTGCTGAAATGGAATACACAGGATGAAACGGTGAAATCAGCTATGATTAAATGGGCACAAGACATTGGTCATGACATTATGTTTGCTGACTGGGAACAGTTATGGACCACCGGGGTTAAGTTTACGGCATTATGAAAATGATTTATAGGTGGTACATGATGTGGAGTTTGGAACTTAACAGGTTAAGTTGTTCCCATGATGCCACAACATTCTGACGTCAGCTTTCGAAGCTGGGAGGAGTTTGGGAGGAGTTTGCTGTTCCTCTCTGTGCTGTGAGGGGAAAGGACGCAGTTTGTCATGGCTGCAAGTAGTCCTGGATTTTCCGGAGAATTGTTGGAATAAACAACTGTAAATAGACAAACCTGTACTCTGTGTGTTTGTCAAAGGACGTGATAGCTTTCCCGCTGTGTTAACTCTGCTACGGCGTGACTGGAGCGGCAGAAGGAGCAGAGGCGCTCAGAGGAAGTGTGCCGGACCTGCCGGACCTGCCATAAAGAGCTAATTGGGGACCGTAAATCCAATTAGCGGGGTCATGCCTAATCAATCAACTTGACAGGTTATGGGTAACCTTAATCACCGATCGTAAAGCTATCACTGGAGGCTGCCGGAACGCTTTCAAGTTTGCGGTTCAGAGCAAAGGAGCTGCGGCAGGAGGTGGTGAGATTTTTGCCTGTTGCTAAGAGAGCTGCGGAGCTGAGAGCTGAGAGCAGCAAGGAATCGTTTCTCCACGGACGGGTGCCGGATAAGCTGGTGAGTGAGCTTGGGGCCCCTTGGGAGAACGGAAGAAGATGGCGGACGACCATGATTCATTCTCCGTGCCTTTCGAAAAATTAAACGGCCAGAATTGGGCGGAATGGAGTCGAAAGCTAAAGGCCTGGCTGGTAGCCAAGGGTCTGTGGGAGGCGGTCCTAGGGCCTCCACTGCCTCCACCAGCCGCCGGAGCTTCGGCTGCAGACATTGCAAATGCGCATGCTTCGCAGAGAAAAAATCAGAAAGCCCTGGGAGCTATAGTGCTCAGTTTGGAGGGCTCACAGTTGCCCCTTGTGGAGGGTTTGGACACTGCGCATGAAGCTTATACTGCTTTGGAAAGAGCGCACCACAGGACCACGGCTGGTGCAAAAATCCACACCACCAGGCGTTTGTTTGAGATGAAGCTGCGTCCAGGTGGGAACATAAGACAGCATGTTACAGAGATGCTCTCTGTGTTTAATGAGTTGCGGCTGTTGCAGGTCAACTTCACAGATGAGCTGAAGGTTTATATTTTGCTCAGCTCTCTGGACAAAAGTTATGACAATTTATGTCTAACTTTGGAGTCTATGAGTCCGCAGGATTTGACTCTGTCGTACGTCACGGGACGCTTGACTGACAAACAGGAGAGACGCCTCAGGGAGAGCAAGTCTGGCGCAGGCAGCTCCACCGGAAGCAAGGGGGGGCCAGGCCAGATGAGAGCTCTGTTCAGGCTTTTTCCACTCGTCGGTGCTATGTGTGTGGATCCAACAGTCATTTCAAAAGAGACTGCCCACAGAGAGCAAGGGCAGCTGCACAGGAAGGCTTCAAGGACACCTTCCATGGGAATCAGTCGGGTTTCCATGGTAACCAGTCTGGAAGAGGAGGCCAGCGTGGGAACGCAAGAGAAGGACGTGGAAAACAACGTGAGGAGACGTATCAACTCACGGCCAGTCTGGCATTGTTTGAGGACAGCTGTGGGACAGGCTCAGAGTTTTGTTTTGTAATAGACTCTGCAGCGAACTGCAATTTGATTCCAGAGACCCCTGCTGTCGAGATGTGGAATTGCAAGGCAATTCCGGCTGGGAAAACTGTACTCTTTGCAAATGGGCAGAAAAAGAATGTAACTAATTCTGTACATGTGCATGTTTCTGTTTTACAGGAGACGTTGGAGTTTTGTACCGTTCCTGGGATGCACCACTGTCTTTTATCTGTGCCTTATTTGTTGAAAAAGGGGTTTAAGGTTTGTTTCGAAGATGCTGTCTGCACAATCTCCAAAGGAGGGAGGATATTTGCCAAGGTTAAAAAGGGGCAGAATGATCTCTTTATTCTTAAATCACCTCTGGAGGGTGAGGGGAAGGTTGGGAAAGCACAGGCTCTACGTGCTAAAATCAACAATCATGTGACATGTGCACATGCGTGGCATGCAAAAACAGCTCATGGTTCTCTAGAAGAACTACAGGTGCTGCCTGAGGTTTCCAAAGGTTGTGAAATTACAGAATGTGGATGTGCTGTAAAATGTGAAACTTGCAGACTGGCAAAGGTAAAAGGATGCAGTTATCCAAAAGTGGAGAGGGTAACCACAAAACTTTTTGAACTGGTCCACATAGATTTGTGGGGTCCTGTAAGGGAGGCGAGTCTGGGAGGTGCAAGGTTTCTGCTGACGGTGCAGGATAATTTTACGCAGAACACCTGGGCCCATGGTCTCAAATCCAAGGATGATGCAGCACAGCTGATCAAAGGATGGATTGAGGAGGTGGAACAAAGGTTTTCCACCAGAGTGCAAGCAGTCACCAGTGACAGAGGAGCTCAGTTTACAGGGTCTGCTTTGCAGAAATTCTTTCACAAGAAAGGGATACGTCACACAGTGACTTCACCCAATCAGAGGGGGGTGGCAGAGCTGAGAAGTGAGGCTCTGGTTAAGGCTGCACAGGTGATGCTGGCAGATTCTGGGTTACCTCCAAGGTTTTGGCTGGAGGCAATCAAGTATGTGGGCTTCACCTGGAATCGTACCTACAATTCACTAGTAGGTGACACACCCTTTGGCTTGTTGCATGGCAGGAAACCCCAGATTCATTTTCTGCGTATGTTTGGTTCAAGTGCATCTGTGCCGGTACCTACTGCTTTGCAGGGGCCAGATGGATCCAAGTTCCGGAAAATGATCTTCTGCGGGTATGAGCCAGAAGCACGTGCATGGAGGTTTGCATATCCATCAGGTGATCAGAGTAAGGTGCTGATCAGTAAACACGCTGAGTTCTATGAGCAGGATAAAAGGTCAAAAACTGCTGTCATGCGTGATGTGCTCTCAGAATGTCTATCTGATTCTGAGGAGGAAAGGGAGAAAGAGGCTGATCCCGGTGATGAGGACCAGGTCCAAGATCAGGGCTCAGAATCCGATGATGACGATCAGGTCACTGACCAAAGTCAGGAACAGGAGGAGGTATATGTAGCTTCTCCACAAGATGTTAAGAGAACACCCAAAGGCGAGCCCAGTTCTCCTGTGAGTGTAATGGAGAGGATTCGAAAACGCTTTAAGTCAGAGGGGGAATCCCGTGATGCTGAGGACACATTTTCTGGTGGCGGTGAGTCAGAGGTAACATCTGAGTTTGTGCCTAGAAGGTCCAGTCGCACAACAAAGGGTATTCCACCTGAAAGGTATCAGGCCACAAGTGCGTGGGTAAGTTTCGCACAGTGTGATTCTGGGAGTGTTGAAGGGGTTCAACAGGTGCCTGGGAAAAATGCCGGGAAGGGGCACAAGGCAAAGGGAAAGGTGTTGAACTCAAAAAGGTCTTGTCAGAATGTTCGGCAAGGGGGGGTATGGAGTTTGGAACTTAACAGGTTAAGTTGTTCCCATGATGCCACAACATTCTGACGTCAGCTTTCGAAGCTGGGAGGAGTTTGGGAGGAGTTCTCTCTGTTCCTCTCTGTGCTGTGAGGGGAAAGGAAGCAGTTTGTCATGGCTGCAAGTAGTCCTGGATTTTCCGGAGAATTGTTGGAATAAACAACTGTAAATAGACAAACCTGTACTCTGTGTGTTTGTCAAAGGACGTGATAGCTTTCCCGCTGTGTTAACTCTGCTACGGCGTGACTGGAGCGGCAGAAGGAGCAGAGGCGCTCAGAGGAAGTGTGCCGGACCTGCCGGACCTGCCATAAAGAGCTAATTGGGGACCGTAAATCCAATTAGCGGGGTCATGCCTAATCAATCAACTTGACACATGACACCAGTCAAGCTTGCAAAAATCTATCATTTGCCCAATAACAAATGCTGGAAATGTAATGAGACTGAAGGTACCTTTTATCACCTTTGGTGGACCTGCCCGAAGATAAAAGCCTTTTGGGAAATGATCTATAATGAAATTAAGAAGGTCCTTAAATGGACCTTTCCTAAAAAACCTGAGGCTTTTCTCCTGGGCATGGTTGGCCAATTGGTGTTAAGGAAGGATAGGACGTTTTTTATGTATGCTACCACAGCAGCAAGGATTCTCTTAGCAAAGTATTGGAAGATACAAGAACTACCCACGCTGGAAGAATGGCAGACGAAGGTGATCGACTATATGGGACTGGCGGAGATGACTGGCAGAATCCGCGACCAAGGGAAAGAGGCGGTGGAAGAAGACTGGAAGAAATTTAAAATGTATCTCAAAAATAGTTGTAAAATTGATGAATGTTAAAATGTCAAGGGATTGGGAAATAGAGAATTGTAGCTGTATTTGATAAGTTAGAGAAGAACCTAAAAGAAAATGAACTGATTAATTGGTTAACTAAGGGAGTTGCTGAAGAAATGTAAAAACAAGGATGCAGAAAAGGGGAGGCATGGGGAAGTCCAGGAAGCAAGGTTTATGAAAAGAAGGTTATGAAAATTATACATGTTTAATGTTTGTTTGTTTATGTATTGTTTATTGTTTGTGTTTATTTTGTGTTTGAAAATTAATAAAAAAATTATAAAAAGAAGAAGAAGAAGAAGAAGAAAGCTTTTGAAGTTCCTGAACAATCGACCAGGAGGGAGGGAACACGCCAGTCGGGCATGTGTCTCTGCTAGGGTCCTACTTGAGAGGAGGACAAGCTCCTGGAAGAACATCCTTCTCCCCGTTGGGTGATCTTAATATATGTCTACATTGCTGTTGACTGCTCTGGAACCTTATGGTGATGGGCAGGGAAGGGAAGGACACAACCAATTGTAAGAGCTGTTCAGCAATGGAATGGACTCCCTTGGAAGGTGGTGGACTCTCCTTCCCCGGAGGTTTTTAAGCAGAGGTTGGATGGCCATCTGTCAGGGATTAAGAACCTAAGAAGAGCCCTCCATGAATTTGTCCAATCCTCTTTTCAAGCCATCCTAGTTGGTGGCCATTCCTGCCTCCAGTGGGAGGTAGTTCCACAGGACAATGCTGTGCTGAGTCTCCCCATGCTCAGCTTTGTTGGGTGTCCACCAGCTGTGATCCAACCACATCTGGAAGGTCACAGGTTCCCCATCCCTATCTTAACAGACGCAGCCAGCAGACCCACCTCCTGATGTGAAACAGGCCTCCATTAAGAAGTGCTCCAGGAACAGGGAAGGGAAACGAGGCCCTCCTCAAGTGTCAACAGAGTCCGCCTTCCGAGTCGCTCAGTCTGACCAGCCAGACTCTTGTGCCCAGCTGTGCCAGAGCTTCTGCTGCCTCCCAGTTCAACTGAGGACACCTGTGGCCAGTGGGGAGCTGGCTCAGGGGGAACCGCCACGAACACCACCTCCCTGAGAGGCAAGAGGTCGCACAACAGCCTGTGGCAGTGGCTGAGTGAGGGCAAATTGCGGCACCCTCAAATCCGATGGGAACAGGATAACCCAAGATGGCCTCCACCAGAGTCAGTTGCTCCATCCTCTGCTGGGATTCCGTGGTTCTGTGACCCCAAAGAGACAGCAGAAGGAAGGTCAACATCAGGCAGAGGCAGCTGGCATGGCCTCTCTCACTGGGAAGCTGTTCACCAGATGTTCTCCTCTCTCTCAGTATCATATGAGCGCTCTCTGTTTCCCCCTGTTGTAGGAATTCTAAGGTCTTATATATATAAAATAAATGTTCATAAATGTACAAGGCAAACACATACATAAGTACACAAACCACGTGTCTGAAATAGTACAGGAGAGCAATCCTGAAGCCATTTTGACTCTCCCAAATGGACCTCAAATATTTCTCTGCAAGGAGGAAGGAAATGGGGAAAGTTTTCCTTTTATATAATATTTTTATTGATTTTTACAAATCATTTCCAAAAATCATATAACATACTTTTCTATCTTATACAATATTTTGGACTTCCATCAACTGCATCTGAAGATTTTTCAATCTTTATCACTTAATCTACATTTCTTAATTTCTCTATTACTTTTAATTATTCTTAACTAATAGCTCTCTTCATAATCTTCTCTGCAATATTTCACATAATCCTCCTTACAAAACTTCTTGCAGTCCTACTAGCATAATCTGTTACAATTGCTTTTCAAGTAATTCAAATATTTACTCCAGTCCTCTGAGAATCTCTGGTCCCGCAGGTTGCGGATCCTTCCTGGACACAATTTTTTTTTTTAAAAGATATTTATTGAAGTTTCCAAAAAAAAGAAATGTTGAAAATCAATAGAAATTTTTTTTGGGGGGGGATTTGCTGAATTAATTAATTAGAAATTGGAATACAGAAAGGGGAGGTATGAGGAGGTCGGGAAAGTAAGGAATTAAGAAAATAAGGGATTGACATTATACTTGTTGTTGTCTGTGTTTGTATTTTTGTTCTTTTTATTTTATATAATTTTTTTTGAAACTTCCTGGACACAAAATTGACCTGCACCTCCATGGACAGCTGTGAGTCCAGAAAGACTCCCAGGCTGCGCACCTGGTCCTTCAAAGGATGATGATTTCAGGCACAGGTCTCCCAGTCCTGCCTGAAGATGCTGCCTGCCAGGGATTGAGTCTGGGGCTGCGGAGCTACAGCCTCTCCATTGACTGACTTCTTTATTTTTTCCTCTCCTAGGGAAAAGTATTCAGATTCATGGGGGAGTGAAAGTCAGGGGAAAGTTGGAGCGTAGAAAGTACCTGGTGCATCAGCTAAGATGGGTGACTGTACATGAAACCAACCTCACTTTCCCTCTGAAAAAAAGCAGAAGAGAGCTCCAAGGAAGGAAGGAAGGATTGGGCCCTCAGTTCTGTGTTCTTCAAATGGGGAAATGCTAATTCTCAGCTGCTGTGAATATTGGAAAGGAACATACCAGGAAGAGTTCAAGGGGAGCTTGGGGAGCTGACTTGCATTGGCCAGACGCAAGTTGCATGCAGGTTTCACAGAACTCTTTCTCAGAAAACAGTAAGCCTGAAACTCCACCGCATGCTTGCACCAGACTAGGAATAGGCAGCTGAGGGTCCGATCTGGATCATAACAACTGACCCCCCATTGTACTCTTTATTATTATTACAGTGGTGCCTCGCAAGACGAAATTAATTCGTTCCGCGAGTTTTGTCGTCTTGCGATTTTTTTCGTCTTGTGAAGCACGGTGTCGGGAAAGTTTTGGAAAAGCTTCAAAAATCACCAAAGTCTTTAAAAACCTCAAAAAAGGCGACCACACCGCGTTCCATGAGTTGCTCCTCGAAGTCAAGTCGCAACTGTATTAACGGTGTTAAGAAAAAGGAAACAAACTTGCAAGACGTTTTCGTCTTGCGAAGCAAGCCCATAGGGAAAATCGTCTTGCGAAGCAGCTCAAAAAACAAAAAACCCTTTCGTCTAGCGAGTTTTTTGTCTTACGAGGCATTCGTCTTGCGAGGTACCACTGTATTGTGGTGTCCTTTCGCTCACTTTAAGCAAGTGGACTGGGAGTTCTGGAGGGGGAAATGAATTGAATTTTTTTCTGGAAATAATTCCTATGCAAATTAGGGTGATTTTCAATGGATAATTTGCATTGGGTAAAAATATTTTATTATTATGGTGTCCATTTGTTCACTTTAAGCAAGTGGAGTGGGTTTTCGGGGGGGGGTCAATTCAATTCCTATGCAAATTAGGGTGATTTTCAGTAGATAATTTGCACTGGGGGGGGGGATTCTGGTGCCCTAGACCTCATTTTACTTATATTCAGTAACCAAAGCTAAAAACCTTGAAACTGCCTGGGTTAGAAGGCTAGGCTGGACGGCCATCTGTTAGGGATTTTCAGCTGCAATTCCTGCATTGCAGGGGGTTAGACTAGATGACCCCAAGGGGGCTCTGCAATTTTGATGAGGCTTGCCAAACATCTATTTACAACCAGCAGCCCAATGAATTTATGAAGCAAATAATTTTCTGCAGAAAAATTAAGTGCTGGGGAATTTTCTACTCCGCATCCCTGCTTTGAACCCCTCGCGATGGAGTTTGCTCCTTATCCCCCTCGGGCAAAGAGACTGAAGAGGTTCTTTGTGTGCGCGCGAAAGCGTTCAAGGGTTTGTTCCCAGTATCTTCAGCGTTGCAAGAAAACGCCGGATGTTTCTCTACGCCCCACTTGCTCGATTCAAAACATGGACCCTGTAAAAATAAGCAGTCATCCAAGGCTCCCCACACACCTTTGCAAATCAACAGGCATTGTTTCAGCTGCTTTGTTGTCTTGTGTTTTGGAGGGGGGGGGAATCCCCTTCTGAACTGAGCAGGGTTGGCAGAGGCACATTCTTGGCAAATCTTAGTGTCAGGAGGCTTAGATGCGGTAGGATTAGGATGGCATCCACAAGAGGTGGCTGGAAGTGGGCCTCAGACCCCCCACATGCTCACACCTGAGCAAACACGGTGCCCTTCGCCCCATTGATCTGCACAAGGCGGGCACTGTGCCCCTCCTGAAAGAATCCCCCACTCGGATCCTCAGTTGCCTGGGCAGTAGGAGCACACAATTTCAGTTATTTTATTTTAGAATAACTTTTATTGGGTTTTATAAACAAGGATAAAAAGGTAAAGGGACCCCAGACCATTAGGTCCAGTCGTGGCCGACTCTGGGGTTGCAGAACATCTTGCTTTATTGGCCGAGGGAGCCGGCGTACAGCTTCTGGGTCATGTGGCCAGCATGACTAAGCCGCTTCTGGCGAACCAGAGCAGCGCACCGAAACGCCCTTTACCTTCCCGCCGGAGTTGTACCTATTTATCTACTTGCACTTTGAAGTGTTTTCGAACTGCTAGGTGGGCAGGAACTGGGACCGAGCAACGGGAGCTCACCCTGTCGTGGGGATTCTAACCGCCGACCTTCTGATCGGCAAGTCCTAGGCTCTGTGGTTTAACCCACAGCACCACCCGTGTCCAGGATAATGTTGTACAAATAAGTATTCCAAGTTTTCTCATGCCATTTGTATATCACAAAAATAGCATAATAAATCTGGAGTAATATCTACAACCATGCAACCGTGCTCTGGTCCATGGGGTCACGAAGAGTCAGACACGACTAAACGACTAAACAACAACAATATCTACAACAGTGATGCGTGTGGCGCTGTGGTCTCCCTTGGCCAGTAAAGCGAGATGAGCGCCGCAAACCCCAGAGTCATCTGCGACTGGACTTAACTGTCAAGGGTCCTTTACCTTTTTTAATATCTACAACATATGGTTCATTATTAGTTGTCAGTGTCTACATCCCTTACCTACCTTGGGTTTGGTTGCAGTTTAGTTTTTAAGCAATTGCCTCATGAAGCTCTGTTTTGCTATTTGGGTTATATACATAAAATTCAATAATAATACTTTCTTGTAAAAATTAAAAAGAATACGTTTTGGGATGAGGGACCAAGAGGGATAAGCCTGTCTCTCAGTGTCTGCAGAAAAGCATCTTGCAGGAATGGCAAGTTAGTGATTTCAGAGAGACGGAAAAGTTACCTTCAATATGAAAAATTCAAGTGAACTCTCCATATCTTGTGATGCCCTGATGCAGTGATGATGGAGTTTTTCTCCAGTGAATTGACAGAGCTACCTGCTATTTTTGATGGGTTTCTGTTGGAACTTAAGGACAGAATTTCTGCACGGGTCCCTTCCTCAGATGCATGAAACGTTAATCCCGCTATATGCAGATTAGTCCACCAGAGGGCGGGCTGCTCCTTCCGACAAGAAGGGGATTTCTCGCAAGGTCTCAAGAAAGGAAGCGGAATGAAACATCAGAAAAGTAACTGGGAAAGTCTTTTCTGTCGATTGAAACAAGTATTGTCAGTTTCATTATTTGCTAAAGCACAATTAAGCAAATGAAAAGAGACATACCCGTAAGTAAAGAACAAATGATCGGGTGGTCAGATTGCTATGATACCTGTTAGGGAAAAATCTAGGTGTGAGGCTGCTCAGTCCCCCAGCTGGTCGGGCAGAGCCCGCGGGTCCCTGCGGAATAAAGGAAGGAGTCCAGCCACCAACTGGAGCAAATAGCTGTAGACCAAAGTTCATTGCGCAATAGGTTCAAAGAGCAAATTTGAACCCCAAGGATGGGGTTTGAAATATACTCAGAGTTGCAAAGTGATTTCATGCTCTTTATTCAGCTCATAGTGGTGAGGAGGAACGAATCGATGTCCCCTCAAAGTATCTGCTTTTTATACATTATTTACACAATGGGCTGCACATGATTGGCTAATTCTGGAATTCTCCTGTAAGCCAATCAGGTTGTGGATTCACTTCTATCTGGAGCATGATTGGGTAGTTCCTGCCAACCAATCATACTGCTGCATTGTTCTAGGACCAATCAGACTGCTGCATTCTGAATCCTATTGTTCTAGGACCAATCAGACTGCTGCCTTTTGGATCCTATTGTTCTAGGACCAATCAGACTGCTGCAGTTTGGATCCTATTCAACTCAGTACATAACAGGGTTTAAAGACTTTTAAAACTTTCCCACCATATCCCAGAATATAGTTCGTACAGCATCATTG